TATATGGCAGTTTTTGTATGAATTGTTAAGTCTGACACTGTTGGTCATGGTGCAGTTAATGGTTAAGAAACTGACAATTGTGCAGTTAAATGGTAACAGTCTGGTGGTGATGTCGTTAATTGTTAACAATGTGACATGGTGTGGCGTGGTTAATAGTTTAACTTAACAACAATTACAGTGCAGTTAAAGGTACGGTCGCGATACCATTAACGGTTAACAATCTGGTTGGTTGTTTTACGCCGCACTCAGCAATATTCCAGCTACATGGCGGCGGTCTGTAAATAATCGAGTCTTGACCAGACAATCCAGTGACCAACAGCCTGAGCATCGATCTACGCAATTGGGATACGAAGACATGTGTCAATCAAATCACCGAGCCTGATCACCCGATCCCGTTAGTCGCCGCTTACGACAAGCAAGGGTTGCTGAAGACAAATTCTAACCCGGACCTTCACGGGTGTTAACAATCTGGTCATGATCAGGGTAATGGTCAGGTTACGTCGCTATTAACGGTTAATAATCAGGTCATGATACGGTGAATGGTTAAAATGTTGACACGATGTATTTAATGGTTAAAGATACATAAGCAACTAACGGTTTAACGTCAAAATCAATCACTACTACACACACCCTGCATCCAGGATAATTTTTCAGCGACAAAAAAGTCCCTGACATCGACTCGTTGATTTTGTTTACCATCTAGTAATGGATCATAATGTTTTGAATCACGTCTACCGAAGGCCACTGCTTCTTGTAATTGTCTGATGTTATCCTTTGAGATGGTAGATCTAAGGGAGCCAATACGTCTCTCTTTAAGCACATGCAAGAAGCTTAGTGTATCACAATATGTACTGACCGGCTTCTCGACTCACAAAGATGTCGAACTCGTTGACGAATGAGACGGAAAGCTGTTGACACTCTTTGAAGTTGTTCCGTGGTGTTTCTTTTGAGGCTAATTATATTTTGTATGAAGGAGACATGTCTTTGATGGCCAAGCAGTACACTGTAAGTGTCAACGCGGGACTGTAAGACTGTCTTTGATACGTCACAGAGCCATTATGGAGAAGTCAGTTTTTCAATGCTTGTAGTTGACGGAAGGTTCTTGCGAGAACGGTTGGTGTTTGAACAAACGCATGCTTACCATGCATATAGGTGAATCGGAAGTTTTGTTATGTCGTAATCCAATTATGTACACATATGGTACACATAACAGTACCTTTAGGCATTCTTTGATCACATAGATAATCTTCCTCAGGATGTAGAAACAATCATGACCAAAATATATTACATTCCACCGTGATTAAAATGGTATTTTGATGAATTTGTTTGAAAGTTAACAGATAATCAATATTTTGAACAAAACAGATTTATACTTGCATTAAGCAATGAACAAAACTCATCAAGCCTAAGATGAAAGTTTCTACCCAATCTACGCATTGTTATTCATTACTCACCACAACAGGAAGACTTCTCAATAGTGTTTGCGGAGACCGTTTGGTTAGAACAGGCGGGAATTGTTCGTGTTTGTAGCCAAACAATATCTAAGACGCTCTAACAAAAAGCAAACAATGAATGTGTTATGTTTAGGTCCTGACCGAGTTTAGATAAACACCATTTCGACTAATCATTTCCGTTTATTGTTCCCGCTTGGTCGGCACCTACACACGAAACATAAGTATGTACAATCCGTTTGAGACAAAATGGTACCGATGAATTGCAATCTAACACAAAAACAAATAGACATAAAAGAATCAAACCAACGCGGAGTGCAATAAAAACGACAGACCAACTCTAGAAAAGAAATGCACAATTTTTGTCGCAAATATAATTAAGTTAGTCATCATTTATTTGTGCGTTTTCCCAGTTTGTGACAAGGACGCAGTGGTTACGAAAGGAACAGCGCGAAAAGCGAGATGCACGTGCATTAGTGACGTCAGAGACATGTCATTACTACTGATTGACAAAGTGAGAGAAAATGAAATTTGCTCTTGACGTAAAGTCTATAATATTTACAATATTTATATATATGGATGTATATAGGTTCAAGTTCCATTAAAAAGCTCACAGCTTACTGTACATATCTGACAGACATGTTGATGGTTTGTGAAATTGATGTGCCTTCAACATGGCTTTGAAAGTGCAGTAAACTACATTAATAACGAACCCCTGAAGGTCCGGGTTAGAATTGGACTTCAGTAACCCATGCTTGTCGTAAGAGGTGGTGAGGCTCGCTGGCTTGACACATGTCATCGTATCCAAGCTGCGTAGATTGCTGCTCATGCTGTTGATGCTAGGATCGTCTGGTCCAGACGCGATTATCTACAGACCACCACCAAATGGATGGAATATTGCTGAGTGCGGCGTAAAACTAAACTCACTCACACATTTAAAACTAACTCAAAGGGACCATTGATTGTAGTTCGTTATACGAATTTCCACTAAACATACAGCGAGTGTCCCGGACCAATATACATGGTTCCACAGCTGTTATACCAAGAGTTCCAAGGGGTCAGTTCCTATGTTTACAAAGTGCATATGGAGAGAGGGTTGATTATAAACTCATGGGCAAAAGAAAGTATGGATCATTTTGAAGATCAGTAAAAGAGAAACAACACTAGATTTGGATTATGTAATAGATGTAATTTGTCGCAAATTCATTTGCACTTTGCTGTGTGTACAAATCATCACCTGGTTGAAAGAACTGAAAGGTGACATTGACATTCAAACAGTCAGGGGGTAAATACCAAAGTTACGATGATATTCCTTTGACGAATTGCGCACACAAAAGACAGAAAAGTTTGTTCCAGAACGATCACAACGTCAGTAGCGTGTGTGTCCGCCAGCAGCCTCGATGCACGCTCGTGCACCTCGTCGCATCGATGACGTCAAGCGTCGGATGACGTCATTTGGCAGTCGCTACCATTCGTCCCTCAGTGCCACTTCCAACTCTGTCTTGTCTGTGGAGGGTGATGACGACCACAAATTTGTCTTCCCAAATGATCCCACAAATGCTCGATCGGATTCAAATCTGGTGATCGAGAAGGCCAGGGTAGAACATTAACGTTATTCTGATTAAGACAGTTTCTCGTCGCTATTGCTGTATGGGGAGTTGCTGGTTGATTGTTCAAGAAAGGTAAGACAAGAGGCTGCAAGACTTGATTTCGGTACTCGTTAGCATTGAGATTCCCCTGAATAACGACCAAGGGTGTCGTTTGGTCGCCAATAATGCCACCCCATACCATCACACCACCTCCACCATAGGCATGGACTTCTTGAATGCATGCTGCTGCAAAACGTTCACGTCATCGCCTGTAAACTCTCTGTCGGCCGTCATTTTTGTGCAGACAAAACCGACTTTCATCGGTGAAGAGGACCCTACGCCAGTCACGCACTCGCCAGCGGTATACTCGTCTTGCCCATTGCAGTCTTTCAAGTCGATGTTGTTGTGTTAGTCTCATTCCACGGAATGGTCGATAGTAACGTATTCCACCTGCTCTCAAACGTCTGAGGACAGTCCTTCGACTGATGCGACGTCCCAACGCTGTTTCGGCCGTCGACGTTGCCGTAACAAATCGATTTCGAGGTGTATCAGGCGTATATGGTGATCTTCACGTGCGCTGGTTACACGTGGACGTCCACTCCTCGGCCTGTGCTGTGTTCGACCTGTCTGTCTGATTCGTTGGAGGAGTCTTGCTATCGTCAGTGGCGTACAACCAAATTTTTTCAATTCTGACGTTCGTCGCTTCAATATCGGACATCCCTATGGCCCTCTCTCTCTGTTCTGGCGTCAGTCGTGGCATACTTTTCATGTGTTTTCTGCAGCTGTGATATGACGGGACCGATGCATCGCATTTATACCGAAACTTTGCACGTGCATTATGTGCTAGGGGCATGGAACATGCTTTCCACATTTGTGACGTCATCACTCACCGTTCGAACGTGTTTCGTTTTGGCGGTGTATTTCCTTTCCCAGTAATGGGGCCAACATTGCCAGCATGTCTAATTCTCATAACCATGTCAATGACAGTGAAAAAATATTTTTTCCACTCCTAAACTTTCTTTGGCCCATGAGTTTAGGATGAAGGTTAAACGCCGCTTAGAGCAGTTCAGTAATATCCCACCGTCACTTACACGTCAGTCAGCTCATCGTGAGGCACGTCGGTGACCGAATGATGGGAGAGTTGATGGGATGAGGAAGTGTGACTGTAAATATAATGTGCAATCAATAATATCGTATAATCAGAGTGCGTGAGTTAGTTCAAACACTTTGAATAGTGTTTGGGTTACATCGTGGGTTGTCAGTTTGATTTGTGATGCAACCGGAAGTGATTCATTTAACATTTGAGAAACCATGCACAGGTCGACCTACACACAGACGGGGGACGTTAACGTCCAAAACTATCCTCAGGGGGTAATTGTCTCCGACATAAGGCTAAATGTTAAAGATGTCCACAAGACATTTTTGTTGTAAAGTATGACAGAGTTTCTTCAAATACCAGTACATTTCTCCTACAAGTTTCCACTAAATTGACATGATGCTATGTGCAAGAACGCGGTATTCAGCAAAGACCCAAGCAAAATTCAGGTTTGACTCATATCTTATTCCAACCCACACTCTGCGAATAAGGAATCAGTTCGCCAGAACACGAAGTCTGTCTGTAACCAACTCAGGCATCATAAAAGTTTGTCAGTATGAGCTCAACTCTGTGCATGGTTATGAACACCAATCATAGTGTGGAGTTGTGACTGGGGACAGTGACACCATTGAGCGGTCATGAACAGGCTGTCGCTGTGAAGAGCTTGGGATCTCCGAAATAAGGAATGCAACTTTAGATCTGCACAAAGTCACCATCTCTTAATCCACTGGGCCATCCCGCGTTACCCTCAATATAATACGAATGATGTAAGGATATCATCCCACTTAGAATCCCTCAGGTGTCTACAGTACCTAGTCAAACTCAACCTTCATTTTTCAAAAGGACATTCAAATAAAACAAAACTTTTAACATTTAATTTTTTATTGTATAGTATACATAGTAATGGCAATATCACAGTGCAGATTCACTCACGACAGAGCACGGACATCCTAACATCCGTACATACATGCATGAGCTATGAGCTGCGTGCGGGCGGGCGGCCAGCCACGGTCGAGGGTCTGCTACAAGGACTAGTCTACCAGACACTGGTGCAACAGCCCAGCACCTTCAGCAGTACAATACATCACAACACCAGGCTGATATCACATACAATGGAATGTGGGTGTGGACGTCACCACAAATAATTAGCATTTCGATGAGAACGAAATCGACATGTAATTCCAATTCCTTCTACAACTAGTGGCAAAGAAGGCATTAGAATCTTGGCTTGAGAACATCTTCATTTCAATGTTCCTTGTCCGACAATTCATTACACAATTAAAAATACATTTCCAAAAGGAAAGATTAAAGAATGATAGGTTTAAAGCATGATTGTAGGAATTAAAAGTAAACAGTGACGAGGAGATCAACAAATTAACAAATCACAGACGAAGCAGCATTAAATTCATTGTCCTCAGATGATCTAAAATGGCCGACAACTGTCCAAAAGTTGACAGAAACCAACCTTCAATCAAACTTTTCCTTCATAAGATAAACAAGTAAAAACGAGAAATTTCTGGATCCTCTTTTATATCACATACTTACTTATTACACCAATCAGTTATCTCAACTTACCACCTCCAAGTCGAAACATATCAAGGAAACACTGAACCATATGCATATCTTGAATGGGTGGCTGCATTCATGAATGAGTGATTTGGGTTTAGAGCCGCTTTTAGCAATATTACAGCAATGTCACCACAGTGGACACCAGAAACAGGCTTCACACATTGTACCCATGGCAGGAATTGTACCCAGGCCATCGGCGTGATGAGTGAACGCTTTAACCACTAGGCTACCCCACCACCGCATCTGCATTCATGACTTGTGGTAGTGCTCAAACCTTGATACCATCTTTAATGTCTTTGCTATGAAGTGATGAGGTGAGATAACTGTTGTTACTGGAAAGTGCAGCGACATTGACTACTCCCAGTTGAACAATGTACCACTTCTTCCCATGGCCAACTGATTACAAGCAAGAGTTACACTGTAACATCTCCAAATTACTGACTGGCAGTGAATCAAGTTCTCCTCCAGTGTAGTGTGGCTGGCACCAGTCATGTTCCCTACACCAGCAGCTGCAGCAGCCCTCTCTCCTGACTCAGCCCTTACTGAACACTTCAGCCCTTACTGAACACTTCAGCCCCTACTGAACACTTCAGCCAATACTGAACACTTCAGCTCATACTGAACACTTCGGCCATTATTGAACACTTCAGCCTTAACTGAACACTTCAGCATCCCTCTCTCCTGACAGCCCTTACTGAACACTTCAGCTAATACTGGACACTTCAGCCTTAACTGAACACTTCAGCATCCCTCTCTCCTGACAGCCCTTACTGAACACTTCAGCTAATACTGGACACTTCAGCCCTTACTGAACACTTCAGCCCCTACTGGACACTTCAGCCCTTACTGAACACTTCAGCCCCTACTGAACACTTCATCCCTTTCTGAATGCTTCAGCCTTTACTGAACACTTCAGCCTGTACTGAACACTTCAGCAAGAGCTGGTGAAAGAAGACTGCGTGGCCTGCTGCTGGGCACTACAATACTGAAGGGTCCTCCGCTATAAATAACATGGATTAATATACAGCTTAGTGTCTATACACAACTGGCATACAATACTCTAACAGAACAACATTCAAGTCTCATATGAACACATACATCTTGCTATTCTAGCATGATCTTCTTGCCAACATTCTACCTGATGTAAATACTGTCAATAAAAGTTTTTCATTCTTCCACTAAGGAAAAGATTTCTGGAAAAGAAAAACAAAACATAAGGATAATTCCATGTGACATAATGGTGAGTCTTGGTGAGATTGTTTAATCTGAAAATAGTTTGAGGAAGGTGTTCTTCTTGCTGGACTTATCATAACTGTCATTCCAGAGGATTTACTGACTGTTCCCCTTAACAAGACCTACAAGAAATGATGATTCACTTGAAGAAATTAAATAACTTCTCCAAAGTAAAGCAAGTCCTCTTAGCAGCGGTGTATTCATTATAAAGGAATAATATACGATATTCAGAGATGACAAATAACCTGGAGAGTGTTGCACCATCATCATCAATGAGACTGAGAGCACTCGATAAAGCAATACATAACCTGTACCAAATAGTCGAAACTTCGAAAGATGACACAAGATGTATTTGTTCATATGAGACATATGGTTATAACCATACTACAGACATGGATATGAAAATAAATAAATATAGACATTTCTACAGTTACCTAGAGAGGTCTCTACTGACACAGATAATGGCTTCGGCAATGTGCACGGTAAGGGTAGTCATACAACCAATACTGAACATAGCCATAGGAAGGTTATACACAGACAGAAAATGGCCCAAATCTTTCTTTCAAAATTTCAGTCCTTGATTCAGTCCAGTGCATAGAATGAGGATTCATCTCTTACATCCTTCATTGAAGTATAATACTTAGCAAAGTGTTCTATACAATATTATATACATTGGGTTGTATGAAAATAATACATTTATATGACGATATGCTCCTGTATTATATCGTGTAAGCAGGTAACCATGGCAACTTGGCATGAGTTGCTATAGTTACATAGGTGAGCATGAAGTCTTTGAAAACAATACTGGTCCACTGTTTCTGCTTGATGGACGGGCCAGCTGAGGGACGGATGGATGGACGGACATTGTGAGATGACCAGATTGATGATGGCTTATCTAGGTTTGGGTGAGCACGTCAGACTGTGTTTCTCCACCTGGCACGTGAGGTCACGGACTTTATCTGACCAGTACTCACTGCTCTCCTGGAGCTGGATGGACAACTGTAAGGAAACAAAAGTAAAATATTGTAACACAGGTTGGCAAGCATGAAAGAGGTCAGTCAGTACAACAGAGGTCAAACAGTATAACAGAGGTCAACAGTACAAGAAAAGTAAGTCAGTACAACAGAGGTCAACCAGTACAAGAGAAGTAAGTCAGTACAACAGAGGTCAACCAGTACATGAGAAGTAAGTCAGTACAACAGAGGTCAACAGTACAAGAGAAGTAAGTCAGTACAACAGAGGTCAACAGTACAAGAGAAGTAAGTCAGTACAACAGAGGTCAACAGTACAAGAGAAGTAAGTCAGTACAACAGAGGTCAACAGTACAAGAGAAGTAAGTCAGTACAACAGAGGTCAACCAGTACAAGAGAAGTAAGTCAGTACAACAGAGGTAAACAGTACAAGAGAAGTCAGTACAACAGAGGTCAACAGTACAAGAGAAGTAGTACAACAGAGGTCAACAGTACAAGAGAAGTAAGTCAGTACAACAGAGGTCAACAACAGTACAAGAGAAGTAAGTCAGTACAACAGAGGTCAACAGTACAAGAGAAGTAAGTCAGTACAACAGAGGTCAACAGTACAGTACAAGAGAAGTAAGTCAGTACAACAGAGGTCAACAGTCAACAAAAGGTACAAGAGAAGTAAGTCAGTACAACAGAGGTCAACAGTACAAGAAAAGTAAGTCAGTACAACAGAGGTCAACAGTACAAGAGAAGTAAGTCAGTACAACAGAGGTCAACAGTACAAGAGAAGTAAGTCAGTACAACAGAGGTCAATAGTACAAGAGAAGTAAGTCAGTACAACAGAGGTCAATAAATATGGTAGGTACAAGAGTCATCGTAACACTTCCTTCTGACTGGCAACATAATTGGATGTAGATACATCCCACCTTCTGGACCTCCACATGAACTGCAAGTCAGTCTATTTTCACTCTATACATGATCAGTTAGAACACTGATTGACCATCCCACATAATATAGGACAAACATCATAGCATCACAAAGGAAGATTGTTGTCTACAACATACACCCTCCCATTCAGCCCAGCAGATATCAGTAGGAACTCAAACAGTTTCTACTATCACGTAAAAGCTGTTCTTTAATATACTTGAGAATTGATTAATGTTGTTTCCGTTATACCAAGTTTCAGACTGATATTATATTGTGCAGTAACAGTCTGAACAAAGGAGTACTCTAACAGTCTGAACTAATTCCACTTTTCAAATGACAGCTTACAGTTTAGAATGCTACATCTATACTCTAAATTTTATTTCCGATGTTTGTTTGAAACGCTAGGTGAGTATGTATTGAGAAATTGACAAAGGACATGCACTGGTTACAGACTGTAAGAAAGCATCAAGCCACAATATTCACCAGCTGATCATGCAAAGACCACACCATCAAAGGGCAGAGAAGCAGGAGGAGTGCCAACACTTCAAGCAAGTCCTGAGATAGTTCCCCAGGACTACAGAACCTCATGCAGCACTTGTGATACAACTTGATTTCAACCTGTCTTGTCTACAAACTAACTTTGTTGTTACTGTTAAAAATAACAGACTAGAAATATTAGTATGGTGGTTAGTCATAGACACTAACATTATAGCAAGACTGAGCTAGGCTGCTAGTTTGTGATTACTGACAAACTAATTGTTTTCTCCCAATTTAGTTTTGTTACATACACTACTGGTCCAAAATCAGCAGAAACTTATGGTATCTGCTTTGTCTCAGTTAACTCAGAGGTTCCACCCTGGATCAGTTAACTCACAGGTTCCACCCTGGATCAGTTAACTCACAGGTTCCACCCTGGATCAGTCAACTCACAGGTTCCACCCTGGATCAGTTAACTCACAGGTTCCACCCTGGATCGGTTAACTCACAGGTTCCACCCTGGATCGGTCAACTCACAGGTTCCACCCTGGATTGGTCAACTCACAGGTTCCACCCTGGATCGGTCAACTCACAGGTTCCACCATGGATCGGTCAACTCACAGGTTCCACCCTGGATCGGTCAACTCACAGGTTCCACCCTGGATCAGTCAACTCACTGGTTCCACCCTGGATCAGTCAACTCAGGTTCCACCCTGGATCAGTCAACTCACAGGTTCCACCCTGGATCAGTTAACTCACAGGTTCCACCCTGGATCAGTTAACTCACAGGTTCCACCCTGGATCAGTCAACTCACAGGTTCCACCCTGGATCCATTAACTCACAGGTTCCACCCTGGATCAGTCAACTCACTGGTTCCAGCCTGGATCAGTCAACTGACAGGTTCCACCCTGGATCAGTTAACTCACTGGTTCCACCCTGGATCAGTCACCTCATTGTATCTCATCCTGACCAGTTTAGTACGCAAGCATCAGTTACTAGACACCTATTCTGAGCTGGACTTCCCAAGAGGTCAAGCTCATAGCAATCAGCAAAGGCCAAGTGTGTTATTTGGCTATACTATACAGCAAGATAGTTCCACCTTCGAAAACTGGTGACACCCCCATTCATTCTCCAGACCATATAACAAGTGTATTACGGAAATACAATGTACCATCGTCAATTTAAAAATCAAACGTACATGAGGTACATTCAAACAATGGTGAGTGAGTGAGTGAGTGAGTGAGTGAGTGAGTGAGTGAGTGAGGGAGGAAATTAGCTGCAGGCCATGTATCCATGTCAGGAATTGAACCCAGCACTTTGGTTTGATGATTGAGCACTGTAACATGTGGGCAACACTATTTCCCGGACACAAAACAGAATTGTGAAATTTCGTGGAGAAAGTGCAGACCACACCAATGATAGATTTCTAAGGTAGCTACAGCTGAGTAAGAAAAGACCCTGAAATCAGTATAATCAACAAGACAGGGATTTCTTCTCACAGAGAATCTTATATACATACCGTCTTTGTAGGAACTTTGGGATCAATCACTAAACCATTGAAACGTACGTAAGAAATCAATCTGTTCAGATTACAATCTACAGAAAATGATTCCCAAGGACATATTCAGGTTCCACCCAATCATAATCGGCTGTTCACCGAGCTGCCTTTGTACAGATATGATAACGTGTGCACTGAACAAGCTAGCGGTTGTGATTGAATGATGTTGTGTATGACTTATGTTTTGTAGATATACTTCCAACAGTATTAAAAAGCCAACCATATTTCAGTACCTAGTCGTGTAATGTTGGCCTGTTTTTCTCACTGTACTGATAAACCAAGGCGGATGTGCTAGCCACAGGTTTGTCATTCTATTGCTACTTGCCTAGGCATACATATCGACTGAATGTTGAATTCCGGAAAACATTTTAGATATTACATAATGTCCATGGGAAAAGATTTAGTGATGTGCTACATTCAGATTAGTTAATGTCATAGACTGAGGAAAAGTCGACACATGATATTGACACATGTGACAGGATAGGTGCTGTTAGTGATGTCTGATAGAGAAACGATGATTTAGTCGACAGCATTCACACCATGCCACCACAACACAACCAACAACAACACATGGACGGACAGACAGACATTGCACTAACCTAGGACATTATTTCCCTGATGGACTATGTTTCTGTGCAGAAAACAAATCAAACAACATGTTAATATCTAGTTGAAAAAACATGTGAGTCACAACGTTATTCTTACAAGAATGATACTTAATTTCTCCAGAAAACACCAGTGTATAATTAATATGAAACTAAACAAAATGCCTATAGATATTTATAAATATGAAGCATTGGTTACAATTCACACATTTAAGCATACATCTAATAACTGGATTGAGGGAAACAAGAAGCAAGGCAGTACCACTCCTGGGAGGCCATTACTACAATATGACAGCTTGCAGGATCAACAAACATGGACACATTTAACGCCATAATCACCTACACAGCAAATATCATTCATAATGGAACTTCTCTTCTAAATTAACTCTAAAATAACTAGCTGACTTCTCATGATGCTATCTTGCAATGGACTAGGACCTGATGATCTTTACAGTGGATGTTAATGTACGACAGTGCTAGATGAGAACGCTGGGAGTCGGACGTACCTCCCCCACTCTCTGTATCCAGTAGGCCTTGTCCAAACTGTGGGGGTCTGCCCCCATCTCGCTGGCAGCACGACTCAGTGCTGCCTGGGTCTGCAATGGTAGAATGTGCTGAGTCAGCAAAACTATGGTCACAGCAGAGGGAGATTCAATACAGTTCAAACAAGGAATGGCTGCAAGTGGAGTAGATATCTACCGTGCGTGGTTACCATAGCAACTAGCCAGGATATATATCAACACCATTCACATGTGACAGTCATATCAGGGCACCGTGAAATGATTCAAGTCTAAATGAGATAATGTATGGTTGATGGTTCAATCAGATATCTAAACTCCCTACTAAGGCATGGCTACGTTAACAGGAATGGTTTAGAATGGTACAACTGTCATGTAAGTCTTTTTAACAGAGTGGTACCCTCAGCCATCATCTATCCCTCGTATATGAAGTATTAATGAAAGAGCACACAATGAGTTTCAATGACAAGCTCTGGTTGTAGGTTAATCAGTGATAAGAGAGTCTGACAGCGTTCAGTAAGGTTAGGGTGTTCCTCCAGCAGAGTTACCATAGCAACCACTCCCTCACTACCTGTCTGTCCTCCCAGTCCCGTTCTGCTGGGGACACATGGCTTCCGGTATCGAGTCTCTCCTGAAATACATAGCTACTACATTCACCCAGACCCTGGATCTACAAACACTGCTGGGCCTAACAGAAGGTCAACATTGATGTGACACTGATGTGACATTTATGTGACACTCATGTGACTCTGATGTGACAGAGAAAAAAGTTACATGTATTTGGAAGAGGAGCGAGAGCATGAAACAATATTAGCCTAAGCTGTGTGGCCCCGAAATCCCCATTTTATCTAATATTGTTTCATGCTCTCTCTTCTTCCAAATACATGTAACTTTTTTCTTTGTCACATCAGAGTCACATCAATGTCACATCAGTGTCACTTCAGTGTCACATCAGTCGCACTCCTCCACTACCATTATAACAAGTGGCCTGTCCTTTAACCAATTCAGGATATTATTTGCCAGCAGGGTTCTGTGATATCTAAATATTCTGTATTCATAAAGGTATTGCTTTTCAGTTCATTTGATCAGAGTAAGCACACATATCTCCAACTACATCCTTTGGTGGCTTGACACAGGTATAAATAGCAAGAATACCAAATAAAGCTACTGCTACCAGAGCTACAGATAACTTTTGGGGTCATTGAGTTATGTCCTCGCTTGTGTTCATCTCAATTGGGTATCCTCATTTTCCTTTGAGTAACCACATCAATTGTACCCACCTCACTCAAACTCAATTGGGTATTTTGCCATTTTCCATTAATTTTTAAGACATAATAAAGTTTAAATGGTATTTATATTGGATCTTTAATATGAGATACAATAAGAAGTTGCAAGTTGCCAAGTTCAAGTGTTGAAATAGAACCTCTCAATTTACCTCCGTTATTTTATCTATGCACCAGTACGCACGCTAAGATTTGACATTTTTGTGTGTACGCATGTAAGATCAAATTTATTAAGTATTTACAAAAATCCATGTGTACTTGTACGCATTTGACATAATAAGGATTGAGTTTTCATATAAATATCTGCGTAATTTACGCAGATCCGCAGCTTATCTGTACCTCTGTTCTACCCCGACCTCCAGTATTTGAGGACTACAGGTGCACCCTATAAGGTACTCACAGCCTTTTCAGGGCTGCCAGCACGTTGCAGCAGTCCGTGATCCCCCATTATCCGCTGGTGCATCTTGGTGTCGTTGTGGGACTTGATGCTGGTCAGCATCTGCTCCTTGCTCTCTACCTGCAGCTCCAACGTCTGCCTCGTCGCCACCTCGCGGTCCAGCTCACCACGTAGTCGCACATTCTCCTTCTGGACCGCACTTAACTGTAGGCAAGGAGGGAGAGATCTCAACAGTTTGCTTGTATATTGTGCAACTTAGATCCAAGCAATATTCCAGCATTGTGACAGTGGTCTGTAATTATCAAATCGGGACCAGGCAATCCAGTGATGGATATTGTGTAAAATAATCCATGCTGCTGGGTTCAGGTAACACGCAATAATATAGTCACCAAGCTTGACCAACTGATTCAACTAGATACCTCTTACAGCCAGCATAGCTTCTAACCTGGAGTCCCCAACAGTGTTTCAGTTATATCACAGGGTGTCAGCTTTATGTGTGAGGAAAGCCTGAAGTGATGTTTACCACTTCAGTGCAACATATAAGCGCAAGTATGGCGCTGACAAAACTAAGAAACATACTCAGGCAATACCTGGACTCTGAACCAATGCTTCTATCATGCCTGAGGGATACAACTCATTGTTTATCAACACCTTGCCAGACTGGTACTCATGTCTTGTTCCTGGTGCCACCTACCTGTTGATTAAGCTGTTGAATGTTTTCTATATTTGATTTTAATCTTGCATGGAGGTCTTCTATTGTGTATACTTTAGATTTGAGTTCTTGATCTTGTTCGATTCTGTAAAACAAAGAAATAATGTCATATCTCTATTCTATCCACTCGGTCAGGAGGTCCACACTCACGAGGTGTGATTGTAACCTCCTTTTGTTACAGAAGTGTTTTTCCACTATTTTCTATAAATAGGACACTGGCTGTGACAAACATTTGCAACTGATGGCTCAGAAAGGTTTGGTCCTCACAAACGTTTGTACTAATGATTTGGCAAATGCATCATAATGACAGCTTCTAATGATTTGTCCTAATGATTTGGCACATGCATCATAATGACAGCTTCATAAACATAAATACAGTTGGTGTGAATAATGCTTGATACTGTTCACTATTTCACATTGGCTTGACAAATGACAACTGTTTGGTACTGCTTCATGACAACTGCTTATACTCACTCGTGTTCCTCAAGGCGTGACTTGAGCTGGTTGAGGAGCACCTGCTGGTGAGTGGAGTGACTCTGGAGAGCCTGCAGCAGAGAGAGGTTACAAAGGTCAGGGTCACATGGGCTGTCTGGTGGGGGTATCACATGTGATCACAGCCTTCTCACAATGACTGACTGACTGAGTTTGGTTCTATGCCGCTTTTAGCAATATTCCAGCAACATCACGGCAGGGGACACCAGAACTGGGCTTCACACATTGTACCCATGTGGGGATTCGAACCCAGGTTTTCAGCGTGACGAGCGAATGCTTTAACCATTAGGCTACCCCACCACCCCCTTCTCACAAGTGAAACCAGGGTGGGGAAGGCATTGAAGTTAAGAGTAATGAGGTCTTCATTTCCAATGGAGGGTACAACCACCAGGTACTCTTCTAGGTGGACAATAAAGGTATATAATAAACCACCTACAGGTTTCTCTCAGTTTGCCTGGGCCACAAGTGAGAAATATGTGTCACATCTTTTCAACACGTTTGTTAATATTAACATGGCTGCATCAACTGCATAAATGATACCCAGAGAGTATGAATACATTTGGATCTTCCTGTCTGAGTGCAAAATACACATTATGTTGGAAAGCTCAAGTAAAATTCTCCAAATGCTCACCATGCATCTGTCTGAGTGAGACTGAGTGTGTACAAACTTGTGCATATCCCTTGAATTAGTTAACAATAGCATGCAGTGGTGAGTATTAGGCCTGTAGTACTGCCTGATTCCAAATGCTACAGCTACATCTAAACTGTACAGCCATTAAGTTTATCTCCTTTATCTGTGATCACATGACTGACCTTGAACTTGTCTCCCTCTGCCCTCCTCTCTTCCAGTTCTATCCGGATCTTGTTGTTTTGCTTCTGGTACTTCTGTACCTGTTCCAGCAGCTGCCTGTAACACAGAAGGTACGACATGATACAGTGGGCTTCATATGATACAGAGGGTAGGACATGATACAGAGGGCCTCATACGATACAGAGGGTAGGACATGATACAGAGGGCATCATTTGATACAGAAGGTACGACATGATACAGAGGGCATCATACGATACAGAAGGTACGACATAATACAGAGGGCATCATATGATACAGAAGGTATGACATGATACAGAGGGCATCATATGATACAGAAGGTACGACATGATACAGAGGGCATCATATGATACAGAAGGTACGACATGATACAGTGGACATCATATGATACAGAAGGTACAACATGATACAGAAGGTACGACATGATACAGAGGGCATCATATGATACAGAAGGTACAACATGATACAGAGGGCATCATACGATACAGAAGGTACGACATGATACAGAGGGCATCATATGATACAGAATGTACGACATGATACAGAGGGCACAAGCAACAGGCACTCAATCATTTTATATCAATTATATAAACATACATACCACTCAACATATTCTGCTATAATAAGGGACCATATCATTCTTCCTAGAACATTAACAATGTGCAAAATTACAGAAAGAAAGGGCTTTACAAATTCACAAAAGAACCAGCCCCCCTCGGCACTCAATCAAATGATTGCTTCCTCAGAAACATTCGTGAACGGAAGGTCGAGGAACAGAAAATGTGTCTCGCAAATTACACCAACATCATGATTCACCTTGGAACCAACTGTGAGACCAATCACCACATTCACATTTTGGTCCATTTACACACAGTTGTTTCACAGCTGCACATAAGGTGACGATAAGATTATCTGAGGTCTAGGGACGCTAAGTAATGAGGTGATGGAGGTACTTACTCCTTCTCGGCCGTCAGGTTCATGATGGCTTTACTCTGCTCCCTGTAAACACACCACATCATGAAGCACTGTCACACACCAACATAATACTTTGTTTGTAGTTTAACAAGGCACTCAGTGATATTCAAGCTATGTGGCAGCAACTCGTCAGTTAATCAGCCAGACAATCCAGTGATTGATATAAAGAGCAACATTAGTATGATGACGCGCAATCAACAAAATTACGGATCCTGACCATGTCATCAATTTAGTTGCTTCTTACATCCAGCATTAGTTGCTAGGGAACAATTCTCCTCCTCACGGGGTCACTGATGTACTGACATCTAGCCTGGTACATACATGCTTACACAGAGTTTATTTTGAACATAATGCATTCCTACAACTGGGATTCTATATATTTTCAGAAAACAATAGATGAGTACTGGTGTATACTCTCAGGTTACTATCACGTTTGACATAAAGCAGTCATTTACAACTTTAGAAACTCAAAGTTTTCATACAAGCATAAGAGCTGTTGGCTCAGGCTGATCAAATGGTAGAGGGTAAACAAATGACAGTATACAGAGAAAGTAGAAACAAGCATTATGTGTGCAGTAATGTCTGCAACTGAGCAACAGCAACATCACCATCTCCTGAAGCTGACTGTGACGGTGTTGCTGTAACCTGAATGACAGTTGAGTGAAGATGGTGTGATGCAGTAGTGTGAGGGTGTTAGGATGTGTGATGGGTGTGACAACAGTATGAGTTGGGTGACCATGTGTGATGGATGTGACAACAGTATGAGTTGGGTGACCATGTGTGATGGGTGTGACAACAGTATGAGTTGGGTGACCATGCGTGATGGGTGTGACAACAGTATGAGTTGGGTGACCATGTGTAATGGGTGTGACAACAGTATGAGTTGAGTGACCATGTGTGATGGGTGTGACAACAGTATGAGTTGGGTGACCATGTGTAATGGATGTGACATGGTAGTGAGACAACAGTGTGATTAGAACATGATACATGGGTGAGGGTGTATGATGGTGTGACAATTGTGTGATGATGGTGTGACAATTGTGTGATGTGGTGTGACAATTGTGTGAGGTGGTGTGACAATTGTGATGTGGTGGTGTGACAATTGTGTGATAATGGTGTGACAATTGTGTGATGTGGTGGTGTGACAATTGTGTGATGTGGTGGTGTGACAATTGTGTGATAATTGTGATGTGACAATTGTGTGTTGTGGTGTGACAATAGTGTGATGTGGTGGTGTGACAATTGTGTGACGTGGTGTGACAATCATGTGATGATGGCATGATGCTGTGGTGTGACAATATTGTGATGTGTGACAATAGTGTGATGTTGTGGTGTGACAATGGTGTGATGACAATTGTGTGATGTGGTGGTGTGACAACAGTGTGATGATGGTGTGACAATGGTGTGATGTGTGACAATAGTGTGACAATAGTGAGACAATTGTGTGATGTGGTAGTGTGACAATAGTGTGATGATGGTGTGACAATAGTGTGATGATGGTGTGACAATAGTGTGATGATAGTGTGACAATAGTGTGATGATGGTGTGACAATAGTGTGATGATGATGAGAAGTGTGAAACAGTAGTTACAGAGATGGACCGAGATGACAACATTACTTAGGGACTTCAAGAGAATCCATGTTCAACATATTCATGCCATTTCCATCAATAAGTAAATCTTAGTTCTACATTCATAATTCTCCCAGTAATGACTTTCTTCATTGTAGTGATTGTTAGTTTTGGTCCATTTTTTTTCAGAAATACTGATATTGAAATACACCCTTTTATCCATACACCCATTGATTCAGACAGTTGGAATATGGCGGTTAAACATGTTTGGTCTCTCTCCACATAAACTAGGTAGCACTAGCAGAGTGACAGACATCGAGACAGCTTGTATGAGAGACAGTGAAGGAAGCAAGGTGAACAAGTTCGTGATGAGAAGGGTAGCGAGAGTTACCTAATCTTGTTGCCCAGTTTCTCATTGGCAGCTCTGCAACACAACGCAGGTGAGTCAACAAACAAACAGACCTGCACAATAGGTGAACACAAGGCATGCCTAGTTAGTGTGTGTGTGGAACTTTAACCAGCGACCTTTACTCGGGATTCAGTATTACAAGGAGCTACTTATACAGAACACCACTGGGGCCTGCTCTGTCCTTGTGTCCCTGCGGTGATACATGGGAAACTGGGACATTCTGCATGAAGCACAGGTACTTGGGACATACCCAATATATGGAGACAGGGGAGGTACATGGGGAGTACACATGCATATGGGTGTTGTCTGATTCAGGAGCCCCACAGACAGATCAATTACAGGACCAGTCAATGTCATCAAAACGCGATTTAGAATTTCGACTTAACACTTCTTGAATATGATAAAAAAGGTTTCACTGCTCAAGTAAGGCTGTTTAGCAGAAATGCTCCTATCAAAGTCAAATAAGCATGGTTGAAGTTTCACACAAACACATACCAAGAAATCAACAAAACATTTCAAGCAAACACCACACAAATAAATGTTTTCGAAACCAGAATCACAAACAGAAGTCTAATGTGGCAAATATAAAATATGTACATAGTACAACTGACCTTGCCCTCAGTCAGGGACTGACAAACAAAATCAAACATGAACATCATCTTCAAACTGCAACAACGCTCATTCTTTTAAAACAAGGTGAATAAACTGAACCAACCATGATGCTCATAAACACATGCTGAACTCCCCTCAACATCCTGGCCCTGTTTCACAAAGTTGTGATTATCATACTGTGAATATATTAACATACAGTCCTGATCGCTTAGTGAAACAGGGCCCTTGTGTATTAACACAACCCTGCCTTTACAGATGTTGAAGTCACATTTGTCACCTTCATTTATCAAGGACTACAGGGGTAGTTGAAACCCCGTTCTCACCATTACACAAAGCAGTACTAACACTACAACTGCTGTCCACCATTTTCAAAAGTGAGGGAGTTACAAGTGTTTCAGTGCTGAGACAGGAATAGGGCCCTGATCTAGAAAGAACTTTCAGGAATATTGAGTTGAATGTTTTAGAAAGAGTTCCCTGTTCTGAAAGGATGAATGAGAAACAAGCAGTTTTTGGACTGAAGGAATAACAAGAGTCTGCTTTCTGCGCATGGCAACATGACGTCTTTGATCAAGCTGCATGACACTCACTTCTGCTCCTGCACCCAGGTGTTGACGTTCTGCACCACCAGCTCACTCTCCCGATGCAGGCGGTCTCCATTGGACCTCGACTCCTCCAAGGCCACACGCAGACCCTGGATCTCCTCGTTGGCGCTGCGGTAGTTCTGCTTCATCAGCTGCAGCTCACTCTTCAGCTTGTGGGACTGAAACAGAAGATGTAGAGTGAAGAGCGAGGTTGTCACCCTGGGAATACTTTTTGACATATGGTGACAGTTTCTTCAGAAAGTAACATAATCTGTAACATTATGAACTCTACATTTCCAGAGGATTATTATTACTCATCCTTGGAGGAGACCTACTTTAACACATTTGCTGATATTCTGAAGCCATCAAAATATACCATTCCAACATACAGCATGCTTGAAGTGAACAACCCCATCACGTCCTAAGGACCCTCCTAGTCCATCATGTTCTTGTATTTCTCCTCAGACTGGCCATCAAAAATTATCAAAGGAGTGTCCAACCCTCTCATCCACCCAGGATGACCCCCGGTTCATCATGTTCTGTACTTCTCTGCAGGGCCTACCCTCCTAGCAACTGGCCACCGAGGCCTACCCCAACCAGACTCTATCCAGTGTGTGTCCCAACCTTCCATCCACCCAGGATCACCCACCTCATCCACCATGTTCTTGTACTTCTCCTGCAGACTGGCCAGCTCGACCTTGATGACAACTGACTCTTCCTCCTTCGATGACAGTTCCTGGAGCGACTGCTTCTGCTTCTCCTGACTAGAGTACAGGTCCGTCTGCAGGGTCGTGTACCGCTCCTCGAAGTGCTGAAGCTGTGAATACCAGTGTGTTAACATACCACAAACTGCAACCACTGTCTCATGACCTGTCCCCACTTCAACAATTAACAGCCACATTGTCTAGCTGTCTCTTCTTAGAACCCTCTTCCCCTCTGTTTTCAGGATCATGAACCAAGCTGATAGACAGTTTTGAGGTGTCACCAACCAATACACAGTTGAGATCGCACACAGTGATTGATAGTGTGACTACTTGCTTACTTTTGAGAAAGTCTATCATCACAAGAGCAAATTTTTCCCATTTATTGACTCTCACTGTTACAGCAACACTGAAACGAAACCTGAAAGGAGATCATCAAACATTCTACCTGTCACCCTCAACAGCAACTGTGACCAACCAATACACATTTCCGCCACCTGTAAAGTCATGAGTACTTAGAAGCTTTAAGAAACTCTCTCCTAGCTGTATACAAGCTATCTACATAGAGTTCATAACATCAGCTCTACAATGTGCGACAGTGTTGCCATAGATATTGGTGGTGCCAGACCTGCCTCAGATACAGGATGTGTTAGACTTACCTCATCCTCAGTGGCCTTGTTGAGCTCCTGCATCTTCCTCAGCTCCTGCTGCAGCTTCCGCATCCGGTCTTCATAGAAGGCGATCTGGGGTGGAACAGTCTCAGTGAGCAAGTTCACAAACATTTCAATTATATCACATCTTTATACAGTGCATCAGACAGGACTCCCTACACCACTGTGACACCTGTAACCAGGCACACCTATGAGCAAGGTAGTATATACATTTACTAGCCATGAGGTCAACGTATGGGTAGTTGCATACTAATCTCGTACGTCACACGAGTGTCGTATCGCGTTGACCTGTGTCGTAACGACTTGACCTGAGATTCTAACGATTTGATTGGATAACGGATGACCCGTCAATTAGGTCACATTCTGACGTAACTATTTTTTCATTCATAACAAACATGTGAATTCATTCATTCTACAACTTAAATGCATTGTGGGAATGTAAACATTGCGAATGTTGCCGTGTCGCTGTTTAATTGTGAGTCAAACTTAGACATTATATCCGTCGAAAACAAACGCAATGTTTCCACCAGTGATGTTAGCCGAATGAAGCAACTGCAAACCAAGAAACGAGGTGCAACGGAGTAGTTTACTGTAGGAGGCTGTACGAGGCTATGACAACTGACATGCATCGTGACGTCGGTTACCAAGGTAGTGACGTCATTACAGGTGACGTCATGCAAATATTGTTCTACAGTACAAAATTCTTCCGCAACCTCTTTATGAAACCGGTTTCGGTTTGAAGCCATACAAATAACAAAAATACGCTATTTTGTCAATTTAATGTATGTAAGACGTGGGTAATAAATAAAATACCACACTCGCGAGGTCAGATAACATAGGAAGGTCACTCGTTTCGTACAATTCGTATGTAATGAGACCGAGTGTAGTAGTCTCTATGTGTGCCATCAAGCACTGACAGTTATATCTCAATCAATTCTACTTCTTGTGGAAAACACTCAGCCTATCAGTGCACCATAAACACAGTGTGGTCAACAAGTTTACCTCCTCTGTCATTGACTGGTTCTGCTGCTGGAGTTTGGCCACCTCTGTCTTGAGTGCAGCCACAAGGCGGGACTTCTCCCCCAGCTGGTCCATGGACTCCTTGTGGTTGCCCTGGACAGTGGTCAGCTGTACCTTCAGGTCATGCACCCTCTGCTCATTGTCCATCAGCTGTAAGAACCACATCGCCATCAGTCTAACCTCGAGACACATTACCATTGTCCATCAGCTGTAAGAACCACATCGCCATCAGTCTAACCTCGAGACACATTACCATTGTCCATCAGCTGTAAGAACCACATCGTCAGTCTAGCCATCAGTCTAACCTTGAGACACATTACCATTGTCCATCAGCTGTAAGAACCACATCGCCATCAGTCTAACCTTGAGACACATTACCATTGTCCATCAGCTGTAAGAACCACATCGCCATCAGTCTAACCTTGAGACACATTACCATTGTCCATCAGCTGTAAGAACCACATTGCCATCAGTCTAACCTTGACACATTACCATTGTCCATCAGCTGTAAGAACCACATCGCCATCAGTCTAACCTTGAGACACATTACCATTGTCCATCAGCTGTAAGAACCACATCGCCATCAGTCTAACCTTGAGACACATTACCATTGTCCATCAGCTGTAAGAACCACATTGCCATCAGTCTAACCTCGAGACACATTACCATTGTCCATCAGCTGTAAGAACCACATCGCCATCAGTCTAACCTCGAGACACATTACCATTGTCCATCAGCTGTAAGAACCACATCGCCATCAGTCTAACCTTGAGACACATTACCACTGTCCATCAGCTGTAAGAACCACATCGCCATCAGTCTAACCTCGACACATTACCATTGTCCATCAGCTGTAAGAACCACATCGCCATCAGTCTAACCTCGAGACACATTACCATTGTCCATCAGTTGTAAGAACCACATCGCCATCAGTCTAACCTCGGTCAGTCTAACCTTGACACATTACCATTGTCCATCAGCTGTAAGAACCACATTGCCATCAGTCTAACCTTGAGACACATTACCATTGTCCATCAGCTGTAAGAACCACATCGCCATCAGTCTAACCTTGAGACACATTACCATTGTCCATCAGCTGTAAGAACCACATCGCCATCAGTCTAACCTCGAGACACATTACCATTGTCCATCAGCTGTAAGAACCACATCGCCATCAGTCTAACCTCGAGACACATTACCATTGTCCATCAGCTGTAAGAACCACATCGCCATCAGTCTAACCTCGAGACACATTACCATTGTCCATCAGCTGTAAGAACCACATCGCCATCAGTCTAACCTTGAGACACATTACCATTGTCCATCAGCTGTAAGAACCACATCGCCATCAGTCTAACCTTGTCACACTACCATTGTCCATCAGCTGTAAGAACCACATCGCCATCAGTCTAACCTCGAGACACATTACCATTGTCCATCAGCTGTAAGAACCACATCGCCATCAGTCTAACCTCGGTGACACATTACCATTGTCCATCAGCTGTAAGAACCACATCGCCATCAGTCTAACCTCTTGAGACACATTACCATTGTCCATCAGCTGTAAGAACCACATCGCCATCAGTCTAACCTCGAGACACATTACCATTGTCCATCAGCTGTAAGAACCACATCGCCATCAGTCTAACCTCGAGACACATTACCATTGTCCATCAGCTGTAAGAACCACATCGCCATCAGTCTAACCTCGGTGACACATTACCATTGTCCATCAGCTGTAAGAACCACATCGCCATCAGTCTAACCTCGAGACACATTACCATTGTCCATCAGCTGTAAAAACCACATCGCCATCAGTCTAACCTCGAGACACATTACCATTGTCCATCAGCTGTAAGAACCACATCGCCATCAGTCTAACCTCGAGACACATTACCATTGTCCATCAGCTGTAAGAACCACATCGCCATCAGTCTAACCTCGAGACACATTACCATTGTCCATCAGCTGTAAGAACCACATTGCCATCAGTCTAACCTCGAGACACATTACCATTGTCCATCAGCTGTAAGAACCACATTGCCATCAGTCTAACCTCGAGACACATTACCATTGTCCATCAGCTGTAAGAACCACATTGCCATCAGTCTAACCTTGAGACACATAACCATTGTCCATTACACACACGTTACCATCAGCCTAACATCAAATGTTTCAGGTAGATCTATTTTTCCTCCTAAAGCGTGCAGCTAGTCAGGGAAGGTGGATGATGAGACCAAAACTAAAATCTGGCAGCACACACACTGAAACACCATCATCATTCATGTTGTGAGGAACCTGTTTGAGGTTCTATGTTTGCCATTATCCTGTGATGTTGCTAGGTTACTTGTGCCTCACCTCTGCATGAGCTCTTCTGTACTGTTCCTGGATCTTCTCCAGGTCAGACTGGAGCTGGGACAGAGTCTCCTCATACTTAGTCACCTGCAAACAATAATAAATATAAACAGTCATCTTCCTCAAGCTTTAACAATTAATACCATCATTCAAGTGTTACTAATCTAGTGGTCTAAAAGAACTATTCCCATCAGCTACCATGAGGACTCTTTATAGTCCCTGGTCAGACTACCTACCTCATGGGAGTGGTGGACACTCTGCTTCTGGGCAGTCTGGAGGTTCATCTTGGCCACACGCAGCTGGCCGTCTCTTTCTGCCAGCTCCTCCTTCAGCCCACGCAGCTTCTGTTGGAGGTCGTCGATCTCAGCCCGCAGTCGCAGGTTCATCTCATCCTTCTCCTGGAGCTGTAGTTGCCAAAGGTGTCACATACTTAGTATGGAAATGTATGAAGTGATATGTTCACACCTAACTCAGTAATGTTATCGTTCACGAATCATGAGTAAGACACGTGATGTGGACTCACTTCTACACATGCTCTGTGTTTTAAAACAGGCTCCCTACAGATCCTCTGAGCCATGACACTGCCCCCTTCCACTCACCCTCTGTGCCATGTCACTGCCCCCTTCCACTCACCCTCTGGCCATGTCACTGCCCCCTTCCACTCACCCTCTGTGCCATGTCACTGCCCCCTTCCACTCACCCTCTGGCCATGTCACTGCCCCCTTCCACTCACCCTCTGTGCCATGTCACTGCCCCCTTCCACTCACCCTCTGTGCCATGTCACTGCCCCCTTCCACTCACTCTCTGTGCCATGTCACTGCCCCCTTCCACTCACCCTCTGGCCATGTCACTGCCCCTTCCACTCACTCTCTGTGCCATGTCCCAGCCCCTTCCACTCACCCTCTGTGCCATGTCCCGAGCCCCCTTCCACTCACCTCTATGTGCCATGTCCCCGAGCCCCTTCCACTCACCCTCTGTGCCATGTCCCGAGCCCCTTCCACTAACCCTCTGTGCCATGTCAGCTGAGCCCCTTGCACTCACCCTCTGTGCCATGTCTTCTGCCCCTTCCGCCACCCTCTGTGCCATGTAGCGAGCCCCCTTCCACTCCCCTCTGTGCCATGTCCCCGAGCCCCCCTTCCACTCCCCTCTGCCATGTCGTGAGCCCCCTTCCACTCCCCCTCTGTGCCATGTCCCGAGCCCCTTCCACTCACCCTATGTGCCATGTCACAGCCCCTTGCACTCACCCTCTGTGCCATGTCGCTGCCCCTTCCACTCACCCCTCTGTGCCATGTAGCGAGCCCCCTTCCACTCCCCTCTGTGCCATGTCCTGAGCCCACTTCCACTCACCCTATGTGCCATGTCACAGCCCCCTTCCACTCACCCTCTGTGCCATGTCATGAGCCCCTTCCACTCACCCTCTGTGCCATGTCCCGGAGCCCCTTCCACTAACCCTCTGTGCCATGTCACAGCCCCCAGCACTCACACCCTCTGTGCCATGTCGGTGCCCCCTTCCACTCACTCTCTGTGCCATGTAGCTTAGCCCCTTCCACTCACCCTATGTGCCATGTCCCGAGCCCCTTCCACTCACCCTCTGTGCCATGTCACAGCCCCCTTCCACTCACCCTATGTGCCATGTCATGAGCCCCCTTCCACTCACCCTCTGTGCCATGTCACGAGCACCCTTCCACTCATCCTCTGTGCCATGTCCCGAGCCCACTTCCACTCACCCTCTGTGCCATGTCCCGAGCCCCCTTCCACTCACCCTCTGTGCCATGTCCCGAGCCCACTTCCACTCACCCTCTGTGCCATGTCGCGAGCCCCCTTCCACTCACCCTCTGTGCCATGTCCCGAGCCCCCTTCCACTAACCCTCTGTGCCATGTCCCGAGCCCCCTTGCACTCACCCTCTGTGCCATGTCGGTGCCCCCTTCCACTCACTCTCTGTGCCATGTAGCGAGCCCCCTTCCACTCACCCTATGTGCCATGTCCCGAGCCCCCTTCCACTCACCCTCTGTGCCATGTCCCGAGCCCCCTTCCACTCACCCTATGTGCCATGTCGCGAGCCCCCTTCCACTCACCCTCTGTGCCATGTCACGAAGCACCCTTCCACTCATCCTCTGTGCCATGTCCCCAGCCCACTTCCACTCACCCTCTGTGCCATGTCCCCGAGCCCCTTCCACTCACCCTCTGTGCCATGTCCCCGAGCCCACTTCCACTCACCCTCTGTGCCATGTCACGAGCCCTCTTCCACTCACCCTCTGTGCCATGTCGCGAGCCCCCTTCCACTCACCCTATGTGCCATGTCACGAGCCCCCTTCCACTCATCCTCTGTGCCATGTCCCGAGCCCACTTCCACTCACCCTCTGTGCCATGTCCCGAGCCCCCTTCCACTCACCCTCTGTGCCATGTCCCGAGCCCACTTCCACTCACCCTCTGTGCCATGTCCCGAGCCTGCTTCTGGTACTGGTCGATATCCTCCTGCAGGTCAGCAGCCATCTTCTTGCTCTGACCCAGCTGCCTGTTGGTGTCCTGGTGGCGATCTCTCTCTCCCCGGAGTTCTGTCTGAAGTTGACCCAGGATCATGTCCTGCTGCTCCACCTGGTGGAAGAGTCAACTCAACATCCAGGCAAGGTTCGTGGTATATTTGGAATCACGACAATTTAAGTTCTGATCTACTACATAAGATTAATTCACTGAGCAAATTGTTTTCAAAATGAAATAATCATTTGATAGACTTTGTACAGAAAATATAAATAGCATCAGAAAGTTAAAGACATCTGTGTTATCAACCTTGTGCACAACACTGTCAAATAACACTTAGTATTGTGTAAAGTTATTAGAGTAGTGCATGAGTTCATGCAGTTCCAACTAACCTGGACTAGTGAGTTCAGATGGTGAAGAGTGAACAGTAATGAGTGAGTGAGTTACGTTTTATGATCGAGTCTGGGCCTGGCAATCCAGTGATAAACAGCATGAGAATCAATCTATGCAATTGGTATACAATGACATATGTCAACCAAGTCAACAAGCCTGAACACCCAATCCCGTTAGGTGCCTCTTACAACAGGCATGGAATACTGAAGATCAATTCTAACCCCGATCTTCACGGGTGAGAGTGAACAGTTAGAGGTCTCCAGTAACGAGAAGCTCACCTGGTCTGACAGCATCTTCTCCTGCTCCCGCGACCCCTCCAGTTCCACCTCCACCTTGTGTGCCTGCTGCTTGTACGCCAACCCCTCCTGCACCGCCGTGTGGTGCTCCTCCTTCGACACCATCAGGTCCTTCCGCAGCTTGTCAATCACAGATTTCTGTTCTGCGATCTCCTCCTCGTAGCTGGCGCAGCGTTCTCGCAGCGTCTTCAGCTCGGCCTGCAGTTTCCTGTTGACCTGCTCATGTCGGACGACCTCTGTGACACGCTGACTCAGCTGGTCCTGGGTCGTCTGGAGGCTCTGCTCCATCAGCATCAGCTTCTCCTCGTGGTGTGCGAGCTGAGGATGAGTGAGGGAATGAGTTAGTGATGGCTTTATTGTGAGCAGCAGATCACATCATTTCACCAGAATGTGAAAGAAGGAGAGCATAATCTCTTTGAGTTGCATGTCAATCCTTTAATTGTCGAAAGAAAGCACAACAAAATGTGAATGTTTTTACACACCTTTAAATAGTATTTCAGTTAGCTCATAATTGGAGAAAGCCGTACAATGATGATGAAGATTGGAAATGGACAATTGAGAGAGTTGAGTTTTACACCAAGATGGGCAGTATCACAGCTTCATGTGGGAGCTGAGCTCAACACAATTGACAAATTGTTGAGGACAATTCCGCAGCAGATCTGGCTGAAGGGCCTGAAAACACTGCTATACTGTGACAAAATTATTTCATGTCAAACTTGATAGTGGGCAGATTAACTAGACTGAATAAGTTCAGACAAGAATTTGATGAAATGGACGTATATTAGTAGTATATGGATGTATATTACCACTAGTAAATCAAAGAGACTGCTCCTGAATAAGGTCACTTAGATGTGCTAGAGATAGTGATGACCTCACCTCCTGAGCACAGTCTCTGTACTGGGACCGGGCCTCCGTCATGTCCGTCTTCAGCCGGTCCACATCACCCTGTAGCTCCTCGATCTGAAGACAAACACAGTTCTCGTTACAGCACTGCTTCATTGTAGCTACATCAACACAAGAGGAACAGGGGCAAGAACTACTGCAATCATAGCATCAGTATAGGGCAGGGTGTGGAGTCATCACATTTACAATGAGCGGGCAGTATTTATACACTACTTGATGCTGTAGTCAGTATTACAGCTACAGAAGCTTAGGGCAGAAGTGTTTCTGACACTGGCTGTAGTAACAAGAACATGGAGTGAGTGTTTGCCCGGTGGGTGATGTAGGGTAGTATTGGACACTAGACGTGGAACTGACCGTGCTCTCTGCCTGTCTCCGGGCTGTCTTCATCTGGTTCAGGCTGATCTTCAGGTCATGGAGGGCCAGCTCCAGCTTCTCAATCTACAATACCAACAGTCAGTCAGTATATCTATAAAATTACAATTACAAAACAAATGGACTTCTAGTAAGTGATACCTCATGATTATAGTTTAAGATTCAGATTCATAATGCAAAGAAGCTGTTTACATCCCAGATAGCACTACTTTAACCTTATGTATTCCTACATCAATGAATGATTGTAGAGCGCTAGCTTTGGTGAGTGAGTGAGTGAGTTTTGTTTTACGCAGCACTCAGTAATATTCCAGCTATATGGCGGCGGTCTGTAAATAATCGAGTCTGGACCAGATAATCCAGTGATCAACAGCATGAGCATCGATCTGCGCAATTGGGAACCGATGACATGTGTCAACCAAGTCAGCGAGTCTGACCACCCGATCCCGTTAGTCGCCTCTTACGACAAGAAAGGGTTGCTGAAGATCAATTCTAACCCAGAACTTCACAGGTACTAGCATCAGTGATGCCCAGATATCTGTCAATACATTTTCACTGAAGTTAGTGTCAACTTTTGACAAGTAAGTGTGGATGATGTCATTAATGCAATCACAGTGCCATTTGTCCATACTGATGAAACAACAAAAAAGTATTTCATGAAATGATAAACAAATTCAGCCATGTTAAGTGTACATCCACTGTCCACTCTAAGAAGCCATTGTGACCACCTGACACCATGACAACAGCATGTCCTACCTCGTCCACTTTGTTCTTGATGTCATCCCGACATGCGAGGATCTCGCCCTCGTTCCGCTTGATCTGTTCCTCCTTCCTGTTGACTTCATGGTCCAGTGACTCGACGCGGGTCTGGGCGTCTGACAGCTGGTGCTGCAGTGATGTGATGGTGTCCTCCAGCCTCTCCGTGTCCGTCTTGTGGCGCTGGTGAGCAGACGACAAACTCAGCTGCAGCTGCTGGATGTTCTGCTCCAGACGAGTGATCTGAAACATGGAACATATATAGAATCCTTCGGACACAGAGCATACATCCAAGACATTCCTCAGAGAAACATAACACTAAACATGCCACTTGTCTTCTGTAGTAGCCAGCAAACATAACACTGAACATGCCACTTGTCTTCTGTAGTAGCCAGCAAACATAACACTAAACATGCCACTTGTCTTCTGTAGTAGCCAGCAAACATAACACTAAACATGCCACTTGTCTTCTGTAGTAGCCAGCAAACATAACACTAAACATGCCACTTGTCTTCTGTAGTAGCCAGCAAACATAACACTAAACATGCCACTTGTCTTCTGTAGTAGCCAGCAAACATAACACTGAACATGCCACTTGTCTTCTGTAGTAGCCAGCAAACATAACACTAAACATGCCACTTGTCTTCTGTAGTAGCCAGCAAACATAACACTGAACATGCCACTTGTCTCTCTGTAGTAGCCAGCAAACATAACACTAAACATGCCACTTGTCTTCTGTAGTAGCCAGCAAACATAACACTAAACATGCCACTTGTCTTCTGTAGTAGCCAGCAAACATAACACTAAACATGCCACTTGTCTTCTGTAGTAGCCAGCAAACATAACACTGAACATGCCACTTGTCTTCTGTAGTAGCCAGCAAACATAACACTGAACATGCCACTTGTCTTCTGTAGTAGCCAGCAAACATAACACGAAGCATACATATACCATCATTAATATTCTGGGACAACATATTAATTCACATGTTTGTGGGTGGGAGTCTACATTCAATATACACAGTCAATCATTACAGAATGACATTACATATGTAAGTCAATAATGACAGAATGACATCATATGCAAGTCAACAATGACAGAATGACATCACATATAAGTCAATAATGACATCACATTTGTAAGTTAATAATGACATCACATATATAAGTTAATAATGACAGAATGACATAATTACATAATGACATCACATATCTAAGTCAATAATGACAGAATGACATCACAGATATATGTGAGAAATTACAGTATCACATCCCAATAGTCATGTTGGTAATATCAGCATCCATGGTCACTTCACACATTCTGCTACATGTAACTGGTCACCACTGTGAAGTGATCCTACATCGACAACACCACACAACAAACACTACTGTGTACAACAACTCTCATTCACAGGATACACGGACATCTTCCACACTGACACCAAAGACCACCTTTGTTAACAACTGACTCCATTGTTTACATCATAACTACTCCTTGGAGATCAGGTTTTCAACTTAAATGAAGTTTTACAATGAAAATCATCTTCTGCTGAAGTGCACTACAACACAAAGGAGACTATACCAACCGTTATCAAAGCTTCAGCTTTATATATTTCCAGTTCCATCTTTCACACATGTTCACCTCGGCAAAAAAAATATTTTGGTTTCACAATTGCCCAACAACCAACAATGGACCAAGCCTTCAGACATATTCTCATTATAACTACTGAATACCAGGGAAAGGCCATTTAACTGATAGGGGTGTCAGGTTGTCTGCAAGACCAGACATGTCAGAGCAGTGAGATAAGTGCCAGATATGAATGTGATAACCGCCATAAATCAATACAATATATCCCAGTTTAATAAGGTTCCGCCAATGACTGTTATCTCACTCAGGCCTGCTTGATGACAGTCAACAAACACCTGCCTCTCCCCCTGTGTCTGTCAATGGGGTGGATGTAGGTCAGCCATACAGACCATGGCAGTGTTAATGTTCCTCTATTGACACTGCCACAGGCAGTAACCACACTCTCCTATTCATGAAAAACAGTTCACACTTCTCAGTCACGGCAGTGCCAGATATTAGAGAGAATGTCAAAGGAATGTTTTCAATGACAAGGCAGTTGTATGGAAACCTGATGACAGTGTTCCAGACACTGGATATGACCAGTCAAACGTGCCCCCACCCCATGCAAGGAAGAAAGCTATTCTGTTGCACTGAGGATTGTTGAGAGCCACATTATGACAATCCAAGGAGGAAGGCTTTAATGAATCAATGAGAAACATGTCAGCTTATTTCTACAGGAAGTGAAACACAGGCTGTTATGGTAGCTTAACAATACAAGCATTCACTTGATGAAAGAACACAAGGCTGAATCAACACATGGTAGCCTTTCTTACAGAAAACACTTCACAGATCAATCATCACACCTTTCATTCTCAGATCTAGAAGTCAATGCTCATGTCGTTTCCAGCTCTGAAATGAAGAACCCTTTGGTTCCTTAATACATGAGTGTCCCCACAGAGAATGCTTACTCAACCTTGTGGTTGCTTGGTTCTCTACTGAACTATGACAGACTGCCTTGACGGAGCTAGTTGCTGCTTGTTATCAACATAGTCTCCTTGGATGTCCACACACACAACCTACAAACTGGTCAGACCTATCATTGGTACTGGCTGTCAGGGAAATCTCCACCTCTCTGTACAGTCAAACCTTGAAAGTACAACACCCCCTCCTTGTTAACTATTCCTCTGTGATGTTCATGTATCCTACACTCCGCTACCTAATTGAAACTCTCAGAGGTTGATGATGTTGATTGTTGTTTTACACTGTAGCTAGCAATATGCAATCTATGTCACAATGACGTACACGAATCAAGCCTGGGCAGAACAACCAGGGGTTGATATCAGGAGCAACACACAACATTGGAGTAAGACGATACCCAGTCAACAGAGTCAAGGAGGCTGACAACCCAAGGGAGTCAGCCTTGTATGACTGACAACCCAAGGGAGTCAAGAGGTTGCCTTGTATGACCAGGAATTGAGTGGACCTTTTGTACCAGGCTCCCCATATTGATAAGTATCAAGAGGTTGTGCGTTTGCTCTATTAATGCCTCACTTAGCAATATTGCAGCTATGTGACGGAGGCCTGAAAATATGTCTGGAACACAAACTTCAGTGACTGACATCAAGAGCAAGGAGCCATACTGTGGATGCATGTATAGGAAATCACTTTAAATAATTTGAAGGGTAAATCATTGTAGCGATATCTACAATTGTAATATTTTGCTGACCAAGTCTGTTATTAACTGTTAGATTTCCTGATTACCTGCACATAATACCTGAATTTTTCCCCAAAATAATGAATCCCCTTGAGAGGGGTGCACATGATTCTTGGACCTGAACTACACAAACCATATAAGGTGCTGATGATTGTAAAAAGGGTTCCAACAACGATGTACTGATACCTGTAAAAGGGGTCACCATGACCATAACCTGGAGACTGTAAAGGGTGTTCTCACATGGAGAAAAAAATGTAACGTTGTACTGTGAAGAACAATACGTGACTCCTGTGACATAAAATGCTATACGGAGACATATGAACATTAGACCTACCTCGTTACTGGCACTGGCCTTCTGGTCCTTGGTGATGGTGAGCTCTGACTGGAGGTCAGAGATCTCGTTCTGGAGGTCGGCGATGTGCCGAGCCTTGCTGTCCAGGTTGTTCCTGGTGTCCTCGAGGTCATACTCCAGACGGGAGATACGCTCCTCCCTCTCTTGGAACTGGACAAAACAGCAGGGCTTGGATATATATTCAGTCACAACACAGCAGGAATTGGATATATAGAAGATATATACAACACAGAGATATACACATAGCATAACAAAGGTTTTTTGGCATTGAACAGGATACTTGTTTTTAGTCATCAGGTGAGGCTTAAAACCTGTTTCCATTTTTCATCTTCCAAATACCAACTAAATATGTAAACAAGTTACCCAGCCCCAACAACTGACAGTAAAGCGTTACCTCCTGGTCAGTGTGACTGTGGTCTCCTTGGTAAGACAGCAGATCATTCTCTAGGTTCCGCGCCTTCTCCTCATTCTGACGAGCCTGAAATAGCACAACACAATCAAATATACATTTCTCGACTCTCTTAGACATTATCAGAAGATTCCAGGATTTAAACTCAACCAGCAGATGATGATACTAGGGGACATAACTCAACACAGCAAACTACAGTTTGTTAGCGCCATTGCCTTGAAGACCCATGAAGGTCCGGGTTAGAATATTGATCTTCAGTAACCCATGCTTGTTGTAAGAGGCGACTAACGGGATGGGGTGGTCAAGCTCGCTGACTTGGTTGACACATGTCATTGGTTCCAAATTGCGCAGATTAATGCTCATACTGTTGATCACTGGATTGTCTGGTCCAGACTCAATTATTTACAGACCGCTGGAATATTGCTGAGTGCGGGGTAAAACTAAACTCACTCACTCACTTTGCCTTAAAAGAACCTTGGCCCTTATTCTCGAAACGTTCGTAGCCATAAATTTTTTTACAAACCTGGAGAGGTTATGAATTCTTTGAAGAAAAGTCCTCCTTGGGGTACATATAAGCATTAAAATGTCCATTTTAAAAGCCTACGACAGTTGTAACAATATTTCAATAAAATATTTTACCAAACAAAAAACTCGTTATGTGTGGTGAGACCACCCCTACAGGGCCCCGTAGAGGGCCCCCTACAGCCAAGAGCAGGTAACTCTGGCTGTGTACCTCGTGACCTCACTTTTCATGCTGAACGGTCAGACAGAATGAGGGGAGGTGGGAGTCAGATTCAAGGAGGACTTTTCTTCAAAGAATTCATAACCTCTCCAGGTTTGTAAAATTCTTTTTCAGAAGAAGTCCTCCTTGGGGTACATATAAGCATAAGACAGACTCCCAAAGATGTTGAGTCGGGAGCGGTATTCTGTCTGCCTAACATACCCCCTAGTTCAGTCGAAGGCACAGCCGAAGCCGCCGACAAAGAGAGAAAGTACACTCACCTAGTCACCTGACCGCTGATGTCAATCAGGCGGGGGCGTGGCAAGGCGGGGGAAAAGGAGCCTAGCCGATAGGCTATTGGTGGAATTTATAAAGGCGGACGCAAGTCCCACCCCCAGACCATCAAAATGGGAGGGAAAGAATGGGCGAGTCCAATATATATCCCTCAGCAACCCAAACCAGCTGCGCAGTGCAGGATGAACACAGTGACTGTAGCGAGTGATAATCGCTACATACGGTAAAACCACCACCAATGTGATACCACCACCGATAAAAATTGAGGAATTTATTAACACCTACACCATGAGAAAAGCAAACGCGGATTTCTAAGGCTCATTCGCTAGAGAATCACGACACTGCCCACTGGTGAGAACTGTCTGGCCAAACCGAAAGCACGCCCCGAGTGTTTGTCCAGCTGATAGTGGCGGATGAACGTACTCGGTCGGCTCCAGATAGCCGCTGAGCAGATCTCCTCGATGGGCAGTGCCGCGCTGGCGATGCTTTTGATGTCGCCACTGCCCTAATCGAATGAGCCTTTAAACCCTGAGGGATGGTTAATCCTTTGTAAGAGTAACTCGAACAAATGGCAGAGACAAGCCACCTAGATATGGTCTGCTTGTTCGCCGGAAGACCAGCCTTGCCACCGCCATAACAACAGAACAGCTGCTTATCTTTCCTGATAGCAGCCGTTCGTTTGATATAAGCCTTGAGAGTCTTACGGACATCTAAGACGTGAGCACGCCGAAGAGAGGTACCGGACGATGGAGGCTGAGTGAAAGCTGGCAGTTCGATAGGCCCGCTATATGAAAGGCCTTTCGCACCTTAGGACGGTAGGAGTCTGGCAACCGAATACTGACTCTGTCTTTGTGAAAGACAGTCAGAGCAGGATCCGCTGACATGGCATGGATATCACCTACACGCCTGCCAGACGCTACCGCCACAAGAAAGGCAGCCTTCCAACTTAACAGCTGGAGTGAAAGAGACGACAGATCGTGGAAAGAGAGGACCGACATCCAATCAAGAACGATTGACAAGTCCCATGGGGACTAATCCGCCGGACAGTCGGACGGATTCTGTCCACGCCTCGCTAAAAGCTTGTACGAGGGTGCTGCCCCAAGAGAGCACCGCCGGCAGGGATATGGAAGGCAGAGATTGCCGTGGAGTAGCCCGGATAGTAGACGCCGCTAAACCGGGCTTCTAACCGAGACTGCAAGAACTCCAGTACTTCAATTACAGTTGAAGAAAAGGGATCAAGAATCCCTCTGCCGACACACCAGCGCCCATAACAGGCCCATCTATCCTCATACTGAACGCTTGTCGAATCCCTCCGCGGGCCAGAATTGTGTCTGCAACTGGTGCAGGAATTCCGCCAGAGAGGCGATTCCGATAGAGGCCAGGCCACCCACTGAATCCTGGGATTCGGGTGCGGCGCCCGCTCTGGGATAGTAAGTCCGGTCGAAAGGGTAATAGTACAGGAGGCTGAGCCAGAAACCTGAGTAGTACCGAAACCAGCTTTGAGCCGACCAAAGGGGTGCAAGGAGCACAAGAAGTCGAGCTGGTTGGGTGGCAAGCTGCAAGAGGACTTTGGGAATCAGGGTAGTGGCGGAACGCCCACAGAACCCTGTCCGGCCCAATCGAGCTGGAAAGCGCCTTGGGCGATGGCTCTCGGATCCGGTATCCGAGAGCAAAACACCGAATCTGGTTCGTCCCCAGATGCAAACAGATCCACCTGGAACGACCAACAACTGGGAGATAGCCCGGAATATCCCCGATGGAGCATCCACTGCGTGTGGGGCCAGGATACGACGAGAGAGTGCATCTGCTCGAACGTTGTCCGCCCCAGGGAGATAAACAGGCATTACCCGTATGTCGAACTGGTCGCACCAGAGCAGAAACTGCCATGCCTCCTGCAGAAGAGACGGGGAAACCGTACCGCCCTGCTTCAGGATGTAGGTCATTGCCGTCTGGTTGTCCATCTCGAGACGGACCACACGGCCTTGAACCTGCTCGAAGTCGCTTGAACACCAACCTGACTGCTCTCAATTCTAGCACATTGATGTGCAGTTGCGCCGCTCGCTCTGTGACCACAGGCCTGAGACCGACAGGGCGCCCAGCACGCTTCACCCTGTGAGGGAAGCGTCCGTCTGAATTGAGAGATCTGGCGATGGGATGTCCAAAGGGAGCCCCTTGGATAAATTCCCTGCCAGTGTCCACCACCGTAAATGAGGAATTAGCCACCCTGGAGTGTGGAGAATCAACTCGTAACCCTGGGTGTGGACCCACATTCGAGCTAGAGCCTGCTGAATGGGTCGTGATCCTCAACCGCTAAAAGCGATGTCCACCGTTGCCGCCATGTTGCCTAGCAACTGGAGCCAAGTCCGAGCTGAGGCCCTGGGAACTCGAGAAATTGTAACACAACTCTCTGGACTTTGGTGACGCGGTCCGGAGACAGGGAGACTATCCCTCGCGCTGTCTCGAATCTCGCTCCCAAGAACACCAGATCCTGGGTGGGAACCAGTTCTGATTTCTTGAGGTTGATAATCCAGCCCAACTTGGTGAGAATACTCATCACAGCAAGTGTCGCAACTCGCAAGCGCACGAAGGAGCCAATCGTCTAGGTACGGGTGACAGCACCTGCCCTGTGACCTGGCTACCTGAGCTGGAATTAGCATGAGTTTGGTGAACACCCTTGGCGCTGTGGAAATGCCGAAGGGGAGTACCCGAAACTGATAGCACCTCCCGTCGAAGGAAAACCTTAGGTATTTCCGGAACTCGGGCTGCATAGGGACGTGAGCCAATCTCCCTTCTCCACAGACGAAATCACCGAACGTAGTGTTTCCATCTTGAAGGACGGTACCTCTAACATGTCGTTCAGACCTTTGAGGTTTAGAATAGGTCTGAACCCTCCGTCCTTTTTGGTGACAAGGAAATAAGTTGAGTAAAAACCCAACATTTCTTGTCCCACAGGAACCACCTCTATGGCTGCCTTGTCCAGCAACGACTGGACCTCGGCACGGAGCACTTCCGCCTTCTCTAGGGCAGCCGGCACTGGAGTGCAACGGATCCCAGAGAAGGGGGGTGGGTCTCGCTTCCACTGTGGCATGTGGCCTTCCCTGAGTGTGGACAGGACCCAGGGATTGGACGTGACTTTTTCCCATTCCGACAGGAAGAGGGAAAGTCGACCACCCACAGGGATATGTGGCATGAGACATTGAATACCTGACTTCGCAGTACTCCGACTGCTTTGGTCTGGTACCAACAAGGGCTCGGAGGAATTATAGCTGGGAAGCCGGGCTGACTTCCCCTTCCTCTGAAAAGGCTGGTGGGCCGCGGGCCTTGCCCTTGCCTCTGCCCTTACCCTCCTCAGCGACTGCAAGGGCTGAGCCCATTTAACAGATTCCTTCGCCCGCGGCAGAAGGATATGCAGAGGAGACAACCGGGCCGCGGCGAGACGCGGTGAGGCTGTTCCAGCAAGGGCTTAGAGTCCTTGAAGGTTGAGACAGCCTCCGCGGCCTCCCGGACTACTGTAGCTGCCCCGGGAACAGGGTAGAACCCATCCGAATGGCAGCCAGCAGAGCCTGTTATGCGGCAGGCTAATACCTCGCCACGGAAAGCCACAGGCTTACGGAGGCCCATCACCGCCCGACATCATTTGGCAAGCCGACGACCTGATAGAATCGCTGCCAGATGTGACTGTACCTCCGTTAATTGCTTAGCCAAGGTGGAGGGAGATTTAATCTTCCTCCACCCCACCCACATCCAGTAGTTGCCTCTGCAACACCGAGATGTAGGCGGAATGGATCGTCACTTTGAGGCATTGAACCGCATTGGGTATTGCTCTTCAAAGGATCGATAGGCGATTTAAGCTGTAGCGTTAGTCGTGAACGGGCGGAAGCCGGGCGACCTTGCTTGGCTGAAGCCATAGAATTACTCGGACGAACCCCCAAGGGCGGCGGATGCGTAAAACACAATCGTCAACCACTGGGGATTGTAAAGGCAAGCCTCCCCCATGAGGTACCGGCACGGTCAAGTTCTGGCAAATCGAACCTGGACCTGGAACCACAGAGGAGGGGGTTGATTACCTCAGACAAGACTGAGGGTAATATCACGCAGCCTTGTGTCCCCACCTTGGTGGAGCAAAGCCTCCCCTGGGAGGCGAAAACTCCTGAGGGTCGGGTGCGCCAGTACTGACCACTACCTGGGGCAGGACAGAAGCACACGCCCCCATTACCTGCCTCAGGGACGACCGAAATAAAACCAAAGGCGCACCTAACTCCTCCTCGACCCTCATCCTCCTCCATAGCCTCCTCGAATCGATCCTCAATGAGTGAGGTCTCTGTATCCAGAGAGAGCTCTGAGGGATCATCCGAGGGGTCTACAGAGAGGGACAAAGGCTCGAGCAGAGCCGGGTTGCCCGGCACACCTGACCCAAGACTCGATACTGAGTCAGCGGTGCGTGGACGAGGAAGAGCCCGTGCTGGGATTCCTCAATGGTAGACAAAATGATCCAGACACCGAATGGCCCGGCCAAGCCGGCGCAAGCGGTGGGACCAATTGCGAAGTAGCGGCAACTACAGGGACTGAGCCTGCCAAACTACTAACTACTGGACCAGACCCCAAGCCAAGGCTCGGGCCGGTAGTAGTTACTACAGCGGAGGGGTGGCCAGCAACCGAGACAAAACTCGGAGCCGACGCACCCCCGACAGAAACCCCCACACCAGAGCCTAAGCTGAGGTTGGGAGCACTGCCCGCCATAGACCCGGCACACACACCCGCATTACCTGGCCGGACACCAATCTCTCCCTGGCCGGAGGCCAGCCATCGCGTCAGCCACTTAGAGAGTGTGGACCCGAATCCATCTGCTTCTGCAATATATCAGAAAGTAAATCAATTGTTAGCTGGTTAGAAACAGGGACAGGAGGGGGGGGAAGGTGCCTGTGATGTTGAGGGATGGCAGGTGAAAGAGCCGGAGGCCCCGCGACCTTCGCCCGTTTAGGAGCATCCCCAAAGAGGGAAGCGAAGCCTTCTTTTTCTTTGCTTTTTATCTTTGTCTTTAGGCGGCTTCTGACCCCAAATGTCCCCCTCGCCTGAAGTAAGGGCGTGTAGAACATGTAATCAGCACGTCTGGACTTGATGGTGCGGGGGAGAAAGCCTGACACATAGAACAACCTTGTTCGTCATGGGCTTCCTCCGCTAAACAACGTAAAGCAAACCAGGTGGCGATCCTGAGGCGACAAACTGCCGCTACAGGTGACACACCCTTTGGCTGCAAAAACAGAACCACGCTATGACAATAGCAAGGACTGTAATGATATACATAATATAATATGCACGCAACAAAACAGAACAAAATACAACGCCGGGCGATATTTTAACTGTTACAGCAAAGCTATTAAATACTAGCGCCAAAGCCATAATAGCGGCGTAATTATGCACATAGGTGACAAAGAGCAACATGTGTGAGCGACGTAAAACGCCACGAAAACACTCAAGCAAAACTTACCTAAAGCCTGGAAAAAGAGGAATTTAGGCAAGTATAATCTACAAAATGAAATATCAGCCCCTTTACGACCCGACTACAAGGCTTTTCTAAAGCCAGGAGAAGGAAAGCAAAGCGGACCCCAGCGGTCCATATCTTGCCTGCCACGTGGCTGGAGACAGCGAACACGCCGGTAAAGTTACAACAAATCATGAATGAAAAAGTCATACAACGATTCCAGCTAGCGCCCGAGCGAAAAAAAGGAACCATACATACAGGATTTGACTCTATCTCACTCATCGCTCTCTTATTCGTAGCTTCTTGGACCATGCAATCGACCTACACGGCCGACGACAGCATGAAAAGTGAGGTACGAGGTACACAGCCAGAGTTACCTGCTCTTGGCTGTAGGGGGCCCTCTACGGGGCCCTGTAGGGGTGGTCTCACCACACATAACGAGTTTTTTGTTTGGTAAAATATTTTATTGAAATATTGTTACAACTGTCGTAGGCTTTTAAAATGGACATTTTAATGCTTATATGTACCCCAAGGAGGACTTCTTCTGAAAAAGAATCTTAACTTTGATCGTAGCCAATGTGTTGAGAATGGGTTTAAGAAGTTTGTAGGGCTACGAACGTTCCGAGAATAGCTAGCCTGGTTCAGATAATAGTGGGGTAGTAAAAGGCAGCAGACATCAACCTTAAAGGGTCAATGATACACTTATCTGGCAAGCCTGAAAAAATCTGTTAGCTTTCCATGAAACTCTCTTAACACTTTTTGACATCTTATTCTCTGCAAGTCATTTTAGAGATCTTCCACAGATACTCATCCACAAGGTGATCTTAGTGTAGCGACTGTAGTAAGTCTACCTAAGAAAATGAAAGTTAAGACAGTAATGCAAAAGTAATTTTGTGCAGATTGTCCGTAATACCCGAGGTTTTATCTGCCTCCTACTATACACTGCTCACCTCGTGCTGTGAGTCCTGGAGCCTCTCCCTGAGGTTGCGGACATTCTCCTCGCTCTCCCGGACCCGGTTGTGGGAGACGGAGAGGTCCTCCTGGGTGGCGTTCAGCTCCTGGGTTAGTTGCTCGATGACATCCTCACACTTCTGTACCTCCCGCTTGGCCTCAGTGTACATCTTGTCCAGGTTGTCCAGATCGGACTTGAGGCGGTCAAGGTTCTGCTCCTTCTCGAGCTCCTGTATAACACAAGTTACTTTGTATGTTGCTTTCTGGTCTTCCCATGTGTGAGACTCTACATAAAGTAACAACCTCCCCGTCAACCAACCCATCCTTCCCATGTGTGAGACTCTACATAAAGTAACAACCTCCCAGGCGACCCTTCCCATGGCTCTACCCTTCCCATGTGTGAGACTCTACATAAAGTAACAACAACCTCCCCTCAACCGACCCTTCCCATGTGTGAGACTACATAAATTAATGCATGCGGATCCAGAGAGGGTGCTGCACCACCACCACCACCCCCACCCCCAAGTGTTCCAAATGTACTACATGTTTTATGCCCAGGGTTCTGAGAATTGGGGTGCACCCCCAAACAAAAATGCCCTTTGTAATGACCCCCTGTCAACTCACCCTTCCCATGTGTGAGACTACATAAAGTAATCCCCCCGTCAACTCACCCCCTTCCCATGTGTGAGACTCTACATAAAGTAACGACACCCCTGTCAACTCACCCTTCCCATGTGTGAGACTACATAAAGTGGCGACCCCCCGTCAACTCACCCTTCTCATGTGTGAGACTCTACATAAAGTAACTTTCCCCCGTCAACTCACCCCCAACTCCCATGTGTGAGACTACATAAAGTAATGACCCCCTGTCAACTCACCCTTCCCATGTGTGAGACTACATAAAGTGGCGACCCCAGTCAACTCACCCTTCCCATGTGTGAGACTCTACATAAATGGCGACCCCCAGTCAACTCACCCTTCCCCATGTGTGAGACTCTACATAAAGTGAACGACCCCCGTCAACTCACCCTTCTCATGTGTGAGACTCTACATAAAGTGGCGACCCCCAGTCAACTCACCCTTCCCATGTGTGAGACTACATAAAAGTAACGATCCCAGTCAACTCACCCTTCCCATGTGTGAGACTACATAAAATGACGACCCCCAGTCAACTCACCCTTCCCATGTGTGAGACTACATAAAGTGAACGACACCCTGTCAACTCACCCTTCTCATGTGTGAGACTTTACATACAGTGAACTTATCTTCCCACCCCCTTCAACTCACCCTTCCCATGTGTGAGACTACATAAAGTGACGACCCCCAGTCAACTCAACTCACCCTTCCCATGTGTGAGACTACATAAAGTGTGCGACCCCCGTCAACTCACCCTTCCCATGTGTGAGACTTTACATAGAGTGACGATCCCCAGTCAACTTATCCTTCCCATGTGTGAGACTACATAAAGTGACGATCCCCAGTCAACTCACCCTTCCCATGTGTGAGACTTTACATAGAATGACGATCCCCAGTCAACTCACCCTTCCCATGTGTGAGACTTTACATAGAGTGACGACCCCCCGTCAACTTATCCTTCCCATGTGTGAGACTTTACATAGAGTGACGATCCCCAGTCAACTTATCCTTCCCATGTGTAAGACTTTACATAGAGTGACGATCCCCAGTCAACTTATCCTACCCATGTGTGAGACTTTACATAGAGTGACGATCCCCAGTCAACTTATCCTTCCCATGTGTGAGACTTTACATAAAGTGACGATCCCCAGTCAACTTATCCTTCCCATGTGTGAGACTTTACATAGAGTGACGATCCCCAGTCAACTTATCCTTCCTATGTGTAAGACTTTACATACAGTGACGATCCCCAGTCAACTTATCCTTCCCATGTATGAGACTTTACATAGAGTGACGATCCCCAGTCAACTTATCGCTCCCATGTGTAAGACTTTACATAGAGTGACGATCCCCGTCAACTCACCCTTCCCATGTGTGAGACTTTACATAGAGTGGCGATCCCCAGTCAACTTATCCTTCCCATGTGTGAGAGACTTTACATAGAGTGACGATCCCCAGTCAACTTATCCTTCCCATGTGTAAGACTTTACATAAAGTGTCGACCCCCATCAACTCACCCTGGCCCTGTGTGATCCTCCACAGGAAGTGACGACTTCATCAACTCACCCTACCCCTGTGTGATCCGATACATAAAGTGACGACCCCGTCAACTCACCCTGCCCTTGCGTGACCCACTACACAAAGTGACGATCCCCAGTCAACTTATCCTTCCCATGTGTGAGACTTTACATAGAGTGACGATCCCCAGTCAACTTATCGTTCCCATGTGTAAGACTTTACATAGAGTGACGATCCCCAGTCAACTTATCCTGCCCTTGCGTGACCCGCTACACAAAGTGACGATCCCCAGTCAACTTATCCTTCCCATGTGTGAGACTTTACATAGAGTGACGATCCCCAGTCAACTTATCGTTCCCATGTGTAAGACTTTACATAGAATGACGATCCCCAGTCAACTCACCCTTCCCCTGTGTGAGACTTTACATAGAGTGACGACCCCCCGTCAACTTATCCTTCCCATGTGTGAGACTTTACATAGAGTGACGATCCCCAGTCAACTTATCCTTCCCATGTGTAAGACTTTACATAGAGTGACGATCCCCAGTCAACTTATCCTTCCCATGTGTAAGACTTTACATAAAGTGACGATCCCCAGTCAACTTATCCTTCCCATGTGTGAGACTTTACATAGAGTGACGATCCCCAGTCAACTTATCCTTCCCATGTGTGAGACTTTACATAGAGTGACGATCCCCAGTCAACTTATCCTTCCCATGTGTGAGACTTTACATAGAGTGACGATCCCCAGTCAACTTATCCTTCCCATGTGTAAGACTTTACATAGAGTGATGATCCCCAGTCAACTTATCCTACCCATGTGTGAGACTTTACATAGAGTGACGATCCCCAGTCAACTTATCCTTCCCATGTGTGAGACTTTACATAAAGTGACGATCCCCAGTCAACTTATCCTTCCCATGTGTGAGACTTTACATAGAGTGACGATCCCCAGTCAACTTATCCTTCCTATGTGTAAGACTTTACATACAGTGACGATCCCCAGTCAACTTATCCTTCCCATGTGTGAGACTTTACATAGAGTGACGATCCCCAGTCAACTTATCGTTCCCATGTGTAAGACTTTACATAGAGTGACGATCCCCCGTCAACTCACCCTTCCCATGTGTGAGACTTTACATAGAGTGACGATCCCCAGTCAACTTATCCTTCCCATGTGTGAGACTTTACATAGAGTGACGATCCCCAGTCAACTTATCCTTCCCATGTGTAAGACTTTACATAAAGTGTCGACCCCCATCAACTCACCCTGGCCCTGTGTGATCCTCCACAGGAAGTGACGACTTCATCAACTCACCCTACCCCTGTGTGATCCGATACATAAAGTGACGACCCCGTCAACTCACCCTGCCCTTGCGTGACCCACTACACAAAGTGACGATCCCCAGTCAACTTATCCTTCCCATGTGTGAGACTTTACATAGAGTGACGATCCCCAGTCAACTTATCGTTCCCATGTGTAAGACTTTACATAGAGTGACGATCCCCAGTCAACTCACCCTTCCCATGTGTGAGACTTTACATAGAGTGACGATCCCCAGTCAACTTATCCTTCCCATGTGTAAGACTTTACATAAAGTGTAGACCCCCATCAACTCACCCTGGCCCTGTGTGATCCTCCACAGGAAGTGACGACTTCATCAACTCACCCTACCCCTGTGTGATCCGCTACATAAAGTGACGACCCCGTCAACTCACCCTGCCCTTGCGTGACCCACTACACAAAGTGACCACCCCCTGTCAACTCACCCTGCCCCTGCGTGATCCGCTACACAAAGTGACGACCTCGTCAACTCACCCTGCCCCGGCTGTCCTGTAACTTGTCCTGTAGTCCCTTCATGGACGCCTCCAGATTGTCGATCTGTGTGATACACTGGCTGTACTTCATCTTGTAGCTCTCCAGACTGAGCAGCAGCTGGTCACCGTCATGCTTCGCTGTGTCCAGCTGACTCTCCAGGACCACCAGCTGCTGCCGAGTCTCAGATAAACTCACATCCTGCTCCGCAATGGAGTCAGCCTGACGACGCATCTGAGGAGGAAGCAAGAGATTGTCTTACTTCAAGCTCTTACAGTTGTGGCAAAAGTAAAGTCAATAAAAAGAAACACACTACTCACTGAGCTACATCACCTGTTACTCCAAAGACCCTCATCTCTGAAATCCAGACCCTCCATGATTGACACAGATGTTCCACTACAGTGATAAACTACAGTGATGACCAAATGACACCCAATCTCAACAATGAGTATTTTAGGAATCAAACTGGGAGAGAGTTAAAATTCCTGGCAGATAGTTGCAGCTAATCAGCTGATAATAGTGTTCATGGTATTGTTTTAGATCATGTGCCATCATTATTCAAGCATGATACTCAAGAAAAGACTCAATTTCCTGAATGTGTTTCATTCCAGAGAGCTCTGAAGCATGTCCTACAATATGTCCATGATACACTGATACTAACGTGATACTAAACTGATACTACACTGAAACGCTCCTCACCTCCATGGAAGCTTCCTCCTGCATCTTGCGGAACCTGTCCAGCTCGTCGTTGAGTGTGTCGATGGTGGCCCTGTACTCCGAGTTGTGGTTCTGGCTGGCTGTCAGCTCACCCCGGGTGACCTCAAGGTCCTCCTTGAGGTGTTCCATGTCCTGGTGGAGGCGTTTCACCTCCTGGGAGTGGCCACTGCGGGCCATCTGGAGGTCGGACTTCAGCTGCTCGATTGTCCGCAAGTGGTTCTTCACCTGGAGAGTAGAGTACTTTGTGATAAACAGAAACACTTCCTATCATACAAACCACCCTGATGAATGATGTAGGGTAAGAAAAATCGAAATGCATAATTCTTTTTTATTCTTAATTGAACTGAAAAATATCAATATTTTTTTCTGATCAGTGTGTATCAAGAATCAAGGTGGAAATGTTGTGATAGATCTCAAATACCAAAATGTTTCTTCAGCTATTCAGTGTCTATCGTATCTTCCCCAGGAAGCTGAGAATGAAGTTGTAATGGAATTTACAAACATCAACCAATTCAAGACGTATCGAAATAACTGGCTTAATATCATCACACCATCAATATTACTCCTATGTACAAGAAAATAGCACAGATGCTTCAATGTGTAAACTTTATATACATGTGAGGGCAAAGCTTTATTAAGACATGAAGAGGCATTCTTGGTATATAACAGCTTGTACTTGATTGCTTCACATACCTATCAACTTATAAACTACACTTATAACAAAATGAAAGGGACCACTAATTATATTTGGTTATAACTGTAGTTTGTCATATGCATTTTGATTACAATATACAGCAAGCGGCCTTAAAAACAGATCATTATATCCATCAGTTTATTATATCAGTGTATCATTACAAAGATAGTTCACTGCATTGTGATCAGACTGACATGTGTGTATACTTGATGTAATGAGCAAATACTGAGCTTCATCAAATACAATACACAATATACGGAAAACATTCCCAAATCATGCAAGACTTGCAGCCCTGGAACAAATCCTACTAAGACAATACTGCAGAAATAGGAAAATAAATGATATGAAATGAATAACACCACATGCACTACTACGGTAAAAGATCAAAACAAAAATAAAAGGACAAAGGACAAGATCCAAAAGCTACAAAAACCCAACGGTGAGTCCATACACCAATATCTGTGTACTACAAGTGTGTACTCATACACCACACTGACAGCATGCATTGAAAAGCTGCACTAATGCAGTGATGCACCAGAGATGTGCATGACACATCTGGCGTTGTGCAGGTTTGAGCGGGATCACAAGGCCTGAATCAGTCCACTGAACCAGGTAACAATGAACAATGCAGATTAGATCAAAGAGGCATTCTGCAGATAACAATAAATACTGCAAAAGTAAAATATTACCATGTTTTATCCTCTAAAACAACAAAAAAATAACAAAATGTAGAACTGAAATTATATTTTGTTTTGTTTAACACTGCATTCAGCAATATTCCAGCTATATGACCTGTAAACAATTGAGTCTGGACCAGACAATCCAGTGATTGATATTGTGAACATCAATTTATGCCACTGGTGTACAATGAATCAAGTCAAAGAGTCGGCCAATCCAATGGGTTAGCTCTTACAACTAGTATATGTTGCTAGAGAGTTGTAACCTGGACTCGTCATGGCTTCCCAATATATATACCCTGTATGGCTAACAATCAGATTCTGGGGAACATATTTACCACAAGTCATCATAGGGGTCTATTCTAACTAGTTCAGATTGATAATTTGTGAATTTAGAAGATTCCAAGCATAGCAAGTACACTATCCAGTTCCATGCAGGTCAAGGACAAACAAGGGTGAGGGGAGACAACTCTAACCAGTATCCACATTTACCAAGCCTTTACCATTGCAAGCAGTGAGACACATGGCCGATGCAGTAGACAACGTTACCTGTGATTGTCAGCACACACTGCCTGTCATGCCCTCTGCTTTCAATAACTCGTAACAATACCTGGCACAAGGCTAAGGACTGAATAAGCTATCCTCATACTAGTCCATTGTGCAATGGCAATACATCTTCGTGTGTTTGTTGTTTAATGCCGTACTCAGCTGTATTACAGCTGTATGACAACAGCTGCTCATAATCAAGAAAGAACCAGATAATCTAGAGTAACTATCCACACTGTCAGGGCATGAAGACATCCAATAAACCAAGTCACTGTGCCTGACCAACCAATACACTTGTCGTCTCCTTAACACCAGCGTAAGTTGCTAGGGAACTGCTCTAACCTTGGAATTGTGACAATACATCAATGGGAAAAACTAATTCAAACCCACGCACTGATACAGGATTTGAGGGGTTTTAACTCTACCCTGTGGTGAAGGTGTTCAAATCTACCTATGGGTAGGGTTTTCATCATACTGTCTTGTTTTTAGCTTGATAATAATGTAAGAATCTACATTGAAACATCGCTCTATGTAATAAATAAGAAGTTGTCATCCATAAAGTTGAACGTTTCAATTTCATACTGTCTAGTGTAATATTCCTGCCATTATTTCAATAGTCAAAAGTCCTTCATTATCTGTCACCCAAACATCTGTGGAAGTACGTTAACGTGCTTTATGCTTTATTACAGTTATTATGAAATGCCAGAATCAATGAGATGCATGTGTTGGATTATCAGGTGATTGTATGTCCAACTGACAATCTTGGCACCCTAGCAGGCTATACCAACCTTGCCTTACCCCTATGAAACAGTTTCTCATGAAGGTTTCACAGTCAAGGGACACATCAAATGCGGACATGGTAAACCACAATCACAGAACAAGAAATCGATTCAGCGTTCAGAGCAAGTTAATTAAGCGGGTAGAAGCACTAACAACAGCTGAAGCAAATGAACAGTCGATGATGATGATGATGATGACGATTACCAAATGACTGACTGACTGAGTTTGGTTTTACGCTGCTTTTAGCAATATTCCAGCAACATCACGGTGGGGGACACCAGAAATGGGCTTCACACATTGTACCCATGTGGGGAATCGAACCCGGGTCTTCGGCGTGACGAGCGAACGCTTTAACCAGCGGACTACCCCACCTCTCCGAGGAATGACATGTACATATTCGAGAATCTAAGACGCTTGGAGGTCATGTAACGACGTTGTTGGTTGTTGACTTTGAAGACACATTGAGTTATTAAGACTGACTGACTGAGACTGGTTTTACGCCGCTTTTAGCAATATTCCAGCAACATCACGGTGGGGGACACCAGAAATGGGCTTCACACATTGTACCCATGTGGGGATTCGAACCCGGGTCTTCGGTGTGACGAGCCAACGCTTTAACCATTAGGTTACCCCACCGCCCCGATTACCAAATGATACACAGCAGTAATGAGCTGCCATATTGTATTGTTTAAACACCCACTGAGTAACATCACACAGATTTTCACATAATAGACTGATTTCTTATCATGCTGTTGCCTGATATTACCAGTAGTGATGGAATTTGTCTACTTGTTTATTTGTCTGTATCAGTTAGATTAAAAAATACAACAAAAAGACATAAAATTATAGAGATTTAAGGGAGGGTGATTTGTCTGAAGATTCAAGTGCAACAATGATGTTGGGGGAATGATGTAACACATCAGGTCTTGCCATGTCTTTCAATTTAATTTAATTCTTATTTAATGAATAGAAAAGATTAGTGATACCCCATAACAGTAAACTATCCTCTGTTTTTCTGCTGTGGTGTCATTTTTTCCAGTATGAATAGTGGGGGTGGGGTAGCCTAGCAGTTAAAGCGTTCGCTCGCACCACTGAAAGCTGGTTCGGTTCCCCACATGGGTACAATGTGTGAAGCCCATTTCTGGTGGCGCCTGCCCTGATATTGCTGGAATATTGCTAAAAGCTGCGTAAAACCATACTCACTCACTCCTTCGAGTATGAATAAAGCAAGTGATCAAGACACTGTGTGTTATCATAGTGTGCCGGTTTAATATGGAGGAAAACCCTAAATGATGCCAGAAACTATTCTGAACTGACTGCATTTTGGCAATGGGATTTCTGAAACATTTTCATTTGATAAACAAACACTTTGATATACAAGAAATAATTTATTAAGAATATATTAATCTACACTGTACAACATGAAGTCAAGAGGGCATGAGGCAAGTGATGCTAATGTCAGCTTATTTCGCCTCATCTGCCTACAAGGGGAAACAGAAGGGCAATGTCAGAGCGGCAGAGACGGAACAATGACAAATAAAAATCTATTTAACTCATAGCACAAGTTTAAGCCCTTGTTATTTAGACCCCAACCTCACCTCTGACAACCCAACTGAGCACTACCTATTGGAGGTTAGCCCTGACCGGCTTGATTAAGCACCATCTCCGAGAGACGACCCTTGAGCAACCCAACTGAGTACTACCTCCTGGAGACTACCCCTGACCAACCCAACTGAGCACTACCTCCTGGAGGCTACCCCTGACCAACTTCACTAAGCACCATCTCCGAGAGATGACCCTTGACCAACCCAACTGAGCAAAACCAACTGGAGACTACCCCTGACCAACCCAACTGAGCATTACCTCCTGGAGACTACCCCTGACCAAATCAAACTGAGCACTACCTCCTGGAGGTGACCCTGGACCAATCCAACTGAGTACTACCTCCTGGAAGTAACCCTAGATTAACCCAACTCAGTACTACATCCTGGATGTAATCCCAGACCAACCCAACTGAGCATTATCTCCTGGAGGCTACCCTGGACCAACCCAACTGAGCACTACTTTCTGGAGGCTACCTGGACCAACCCAACCGAGTATTACCACCGGGAGACTACCCCTGACCAACCCAACTGAGCATTACCTCCTGGAGGCTACCCTGGACCAACCCAACTGAGCACTACCTCCTAGAGATGATCCCAGACTAGCCCAACTGAGAACTACCTCCTGGGGGCAACCCCCAGACCAACCCAACAGAGTACTACCTCCTGGAGGGTGACCCTGGACCAACTCAACAGAGCACTACCTCCTGGAGGTGACCCTGGACCAACCCTACTGAGTATTACCACCGGGAGACTACCCCTGACCAACCCAACTGAGTATTACCACCGGGAGACTACCCCTGACCAATCTAACTGATCACTTACCTCCTGCAGTGTGATCTCCTGGTCATGCTGCAGATTCTGCACCTTCTTCTCATCATTAGCAATCTGAAACATGGAAATGGTGTTTGAGTGAGCTGAGTCAGCAACATTCCACATTCATTACAGCATACTGTTAGTGACAACCCAATCTGGGGAAGGCAAAATGAGTGGTTGACTGTATACAGCATAAGCAACAATGTCTTACAATCTGTCAGGTCACTCCTCAATTATTTCGACCCAGAATCTACAAACAAGGTAGTCAAGATATAGCTAATTATACCTGACTCCTCGACAGCAAATCTAATGATGGATGCTCCACAAAACTACTGGACCATTTTGACCTGTCCCTCTCCAGCACACTGTATTGCATGCATCAGATAATGTTGATCCTTACCCGCTGCTCGTTGGCTTCTATGTGAGAGTTAAGTCCCCTGATCTCCTGCTGCAGTTGTTTGATTTTGGCATTGAGACGCTGAACCTCGTCCTCCCTGATGTTCAGCTGTGGAAATACAACAAAGTGAGTCACTTACAGCTGTGTGGTGTGTAGAGATGGGTGAGTTGAAGCTGTGTGGTGTGTAGTGTTGGGTGAGTTACAGCTGTGTGGTATGTAGTGTTGGTCGAGTTACAGCTGTGTGGTGTGTAGTGTTGGGTGAGCTACAGCTGTGTGGTGTGTAGTGTTCAGTGAGTTACAGCTGTGTGGTGTGTAGTGTTGGGTGAGTTACAGCTGTGTGGTTTCTAGTGTTGGGTGAGTTACAGCTGTGTGGTGAGTAGTGTTGGGTGAGTTACAGCTGTGTGGTGTGTAGTGTTGGGTGAGTTACAGCTGTGTGGTGTGTAGTGTTGGGTGAGTTAAAGCTGTGTGGTGTGTAGTGTTGGGTGAGTTTCTTAGAACTCTGTGGTGTGCTGTGTATGGTGAGCAAGGAAGTATTTCCCATGTCAGCAAGCATGTATCTGTAAGTGTTACAGTGTATTAAGTGTTGCAATGAGAGAGAGTGTCTGGTAACGCACCTCCTCCGTGGTCCCGCTGTATTTCTGCTGTGTGGTGTCCAGATCTGTCTGAAGTCTCAGGATAACCTGGTCACGATTTGCAACCTGCCACAGAAACACAACTCACAATTTACAAACCATGACATGTCAATGAAAGGCGACCTGATCATACACTCTCCCAGAAGGAGGCGACGGTTATACCTTAATGCTGCATCTACTAACCCCTCCCAATCCCCCTTACTCCATCATCCCCTTCTGTCATCTCCTCCTGGTGCTCCATCAGATGTGTACTTATCTACCTGTCCCACTAACCCCCTCACCTCCTTCTGTCATCTCCCCCTGGTGCTCTATCAGATGTGTACTTATCTACCTGTCCCACTAACCCCCTCACCTCCTTCTGTCATGTCCTCCTGGTGCTCCATCAGATGTGTACTTATCTACCTGTCCCACTAACCCCCTCACCTCCTTCTGTCATCTCCTCCTGGTGCTCTATCAGATGTGTACTTATCTACCTGTCCCACTAACCCCCTCACCTCCTTCTGTCATCTCCTCCTGGTGCTCCATCAGATGTGTACTTATCTACCTGCCCCACTAGCCCCCTCCTGTCCTCTCACCTCCTTCTGTCATCTCCTCCTGGTGCTCTATCAGATGTGTACTTATCTAACTGTCCCACTAGCCCCCTCCTTTCCTCTTACCTCCTTCTGTCATCTCCTCCTGGTGCTCTATCAGATGTGTACTTATCTACCTGTCCCACTAACCCCCTCACCTCTTTCTGTCACCTCCTCCTGGTGCTCTATTAGATGTGTACTTATCTACCTGTCCCACTAACCCCCTCCTGTCCTCTCATCTCCTTCTGTCATCTCCTCCTGGTGCTCTATCAGATGTGTACTTATCTACCTGTCCCACTAACCCCCTCCTTTCCTCTCACCTCCTTCTGTCATCTCCTCCTGGTGCTCTATCAGATGTGTACTTATCTACCTGTCCCACTAACCCCCTCACCTCTTTCTGTCACCTCCTCCTGGTGCTCTATTAGATGTGTACTTATCTACCTGTCCCACTAACCCCCTCCTGTCCTCTCATCTCCTTCTGTCATCTCCTCCTGGTGCTCTATCAGATGTGTACTTATCTACCTGTCCCACTAACCCCCTCCTGTCCTCTCATCTCCTTCTGTCATCTCCTCCTGGTGCTCTATCAGATGTGTACTGATCTACCTGTCCCACTAACCCCCTCCTCCTCATCATCTCCTTCTGTCATCTCCTCCTGGTGCTCTATCAGATGTGTACTTATCTACCTGTCCCACCAACCCCCTCCTGTCCTTTCATCTCCTTCTGTCATCTCCTCCTGGTGCTCTATCAGATGTGTACTTATCTACTTGTCCCACTAACCCCCTCCTGTCCTCTCACCTCCTTCTGTCATCTCCTCCTGGTGCTCTATCAGATGTGTACCTATCTACCTGTCCCACTAACCCCCTCCCTTCCTCTCACCTCCTTCTGGCATCTCCTCCTGGTGCTCTATCAGATGTGTACTTATCTACCTGTCCCACTAACCCCCTCCCATCTTCTCACCTCCTTCTGGCAGGTCCTGTGTTTCTCCTGAGAGATGGTGAGGTCCAGCTCTATCTGATGCAGCTGTTCCTGCAGCTGGCTGATGTCCTGGCTGCTGCGCTGTGTTGTCTCGTTCAGCTGGGAGTTCTCTGTCTTCAGCTTCAAAATGTCATCCTCCTGTTTCAACATCTGACACAGAAAACACAGAGTGGGTGAGTGGTTGAACGTTGTATACATGACACGCTGTATTACAATGACATACAAAATGCCATAAGGCTGCAGTGAGTGAGTGAGTGAGAGGTTTGAAGCCTTGGAACAGTATTCCACAAATTCAGTATCACAGGATGTCATCTTGATGTGGAAGGAAAGCCTGATTCATTGGATCACATAAGTTTACTACTCTGGTAAAACATGCCGACCTAGAAACGAAACGGTTGCAAGCCAGGGTTCAAACTAACAACCATAGGTTTCTAGGATGAAACTGAGCAGAGTGCCTCTATAAGGCTGGAGCAAGCACTATATGTCCTCTCGCTTTACCATCTTTGTGGTTTGATAGTCTGACCTGGCCTTCAAGTGGTATTCTTGTCTATATCTCGGAGTACCATGTGTGCATATGTGCGTGTCTGGTATGTGTGTGAGCATGTGTGTGTTGTACAGTCAAGTCTCATTAATCCGACTCCTGTTTAACCAACAATCGGCTTTACCCTACACTTTTGTTGGTAACAAATTGAATAAACGTTACTTAGTCCCGATAATCAGACAGTCCCGCTTTCCGACTCTGACAGCCCCAATTACAACCGACTGTCGTAATCACTAGTGTTTGTAATTAGTCCCGTAATCCGACATTGAGATTAGCAAGGTGTGTGATCAATTATGGTTCAAGAAGTCGATTCCCAACACTAACTACACACACACACATACACACACGCTTAATATGAATTATGATTGTCGTGTTTTTGACCATGAACGTCATCTGTACACAGAATTCGATAATCCGACATCCTCATTAATCCCACAATTTGCTGTGCAACAGACGATGTCGGATTACCGCGACTTGACTGTATATCCTTACCTCATTGTAGCAGGAGGAGTACTGTGTCTGGGACTCCAACAGATCCTCCTGCAGCTGCTTGATGGTCATCTCCCGGCCCCGCACCTGCAGCAAACACTCAATGGTATCATAAGGAATGGAGCATCATCTCAAAATATTTCATCAATGTGGTTTTGCATAGAAAGAGAGGATAGAGGACCTCCACAAAGAGGACATAATTTCTTCATGACAGAAAACTTGAAGTCATGGCTGCTGATTCATCAGTATTTCAGCCATACTGCAACATGAATATACAACCGTCAGCAGCAATCATTCCAATAATATCAGGGAACCCTGGAAGTAATCCAGGTAACCCAGTGACTAAAAGCATGAGCATTAATCCATCAGGCACCATGACGACACAATCAGCCAAGCCACAAACTGTAATCATCTGGTCATCATTAACCAACTTAGCGACAAACTCAACTGGTGAACTCTTCTTCCTAAAATTCTAAGCAAGGTTGTATACAGCAGTCACACTGTCTTTCCATCAGTTTCAGAAACAAAATCAATATCCAGAGTCCACACTTCCACTTGCACTTACATCCTCCTCGGCCCTCTTGCGTGTATCATCTAGGTCAATGTGACAGTGGGTCACAGTGTCCTGGAGCTTCTTGATGAGGTCGGAACTCTTTTGAATCTGAAACACAATAAATAATACAGTCTCTACTCCAGTCTCTCCTCCAGTCTCCCTGACAACAGCATGAAGACATAGACTTCACATTGACCACTGTTAGCCCAGTAGAAGACATTTGGGGACAAAGGGACTGTCACTATACTTCGGTGAAACCTATACTCCCTCTGGAATCGTCCAAATCTCTGGGTTGACATATCATGACGTAACAAACATAAATGTCCCACCTGAACTGCTTGTATAGTAGGTTCATTCATAAGCAATCTTTTTCACGTAAGCCATTAACATGATGAAGGTAAATTACTCTTACTCTCACTTTAATCAGAGTGACTTGAAAGCTGATGCAGAATAGTGTTTTGGCACTGTAGCCTACCTTATGTAGAGTCAACTGTTTACTATACTAACAAAGTGAGTGAGTGAGTTGGGTTTTACTCCGCTTTCAGCAATATTCCACCATAATCACGGTAGGGGGACACCAGAAATGGGCTTCACACATTGTACCCATGAGGGAATCAACCCGGGTCTTCGGTGTGACGAGCGAATGCTTTAACCACTGGGCTACCCCACCGCCCCTACTAACAAAGACATCCACCACAAGGTCACTTGACTTTTAGCCAGGTGAGCTAATATAACTGAACTAAGCTTCAACACAAAATATACAACTGCAATAAAACAATTCCTTATCAGAAGATTATTGAATAGCACTGAGATTAAGGTGAGAGCATCACCAATACTAGTACATATAAGATACTGCCATACCAATAACATAATACACTATACACATCATCAAAATATTCATTTTCATAGAACACATTCTCAAATGTTTATGTTTCCCAAACCTGTTACCATCAGTGTGATGATCAGATGGCACAATACATTGTAAACCAACCCTTACACAAGGCAACGATGTCAACCATCTATGAAACTCGGACCACCTGATCCTGCTAGTCACCACTTGGGCAAGCATGGGTTGCTGAAGACCAGTTCTAACCTGGATCTTTGTAATTAAACATGGTAAAGACAATGTTGAAACTGACAGATGGTGACAAAGGCCAACAGAAGCGATATTTCATAAAGGTTAGTACATGCAATAATACCTCCCACCATAAGCCTGAGTGTCAATCTGCAGTTTATCAACATGAACCAGAACTAACACAGGTGAACTTAAACATGTCATAATAAAATGCATTTCAAAACACAATTTGTGAAACAGCCTAATATATCTGCGAACTAGTTTCATATTTATTCATTTCACTAATATCAAAACATTTTTTCAAACAACTACCTGCCTAAACAAACGAAAAGGTGGACTCAAGTTAGTTAGTGTATAGCGTGCTGAGTGTACCATCATTATATTTCTTCACTGTTGAACACCAGAGTCAGCAATATCTCAGCTACCTGACAACCAACAGTCAGTAACCGAGTCTGAACCAGACAAACCAGTGATGAATATTATGAGCAAAGATCCACAAAGTTGGGAAATGATGCAAACCAAGATATTGAGTCTGACCACCAGGGGCTCCTTTCACGAAGCAACGTTTACTAAGGTTAACCATAACTCCCATTCTTTAACATTGCACTAAGATTATCTTAGTGACTTACGATCACCTTAGTGCTTCGTGAAAGTAGGCCCAGGTCCATAAAGTGAACGTTTACAACAACCTGGGTTGCTGGGAGCAACTCTGAAGTGGACTTCTCTATGAGAGTCAGTTTGTGATAAAATAATGACAAGAGTCAACTGTTTCTGTGATCTCACATACAATAGCAACCTCTGTTATCTATCTACATATTGTATCATACGTATATACTCTCTAATCATACATATAAACACTAGAATACTTGAATACATGAATACATGTTTCAAACAAACAATCTGAAATGTCTAACCATCACCATTGGGACAAGCACTTTGGGAAACTGAGAAACAGGTCACTGACTAAAGACAGGGATCACTTGTGTGACACACAGATATATCTATGAATGGCATTACTAAATGAACAAACATCGATGCTTTAATGAGCATAAAGCCTTGGGAGTGCTAGAGTTACCATTGACTTGCGAGTGCTTTAACATGGAAAAAGCCTTGGGAGTGCTAGAGCTACCATTGATATGGGGTTGCTTTAATATTAAGAGGCTAAAGCCTTGGGAGTGCTTGAGCTACCATTGATATGGGGGTGCTTTAATATTAAGAGGCTTAAGCCTTGGGAGTGCTTGAGCTACCATCGATATGGGGGTGCTTTAATATTAAGAGGCTAAAGCCTTGGGAGTATGGAGTTACCATTGATATGGGGGTGCTGTAATGAGACTAAAACCTTGGGAGTGCTTGAGCTACCATTGATATGGGGGTGCTTTAATATTAAGAGGCTTAAGCCTTGGGAGTGCTTGAGCTACCATCGATATGGGGGTGCTTTAATATTAAGAGGCTAAAGCCTTGGGAGTATGGAGTTACCATTGATATGGGGGTGCTGTAATGAGACTAAAACCTTGGGAGTGCTTGAGCTACCATTGATATGGGGGTGCTTTAATATTAAGAGGCTTAAGCCTTGGGAGTGCTTGAGCTACCATTGATATGGGGGTGCTTTAATATCAGGAGGCCAAAGCCTTGGGAGTGCTGGAGTTACCATTGATATGTGGGTGCTTTAATGAGGATAAACACTTGGGACAGCTTGAGTTACCAATGATATGGGGGAGCTTTAATGACGCTAAAGCCTTAGGAGTGCTAGAATTACCATTGATATGGGGATGTTGTAATGAGGATAAACACTTGGGACAGCTTGAGTTACCAATGATATGGGGGTGCTTTAATGAAGATAAAGCCTTGGGAGTGCTAGAGTTAACATTGATATGGGGATGCTGTAATGAGGATAAACACTTGGGACAGCTTGAGTTACCAATAAGGGCAAGGTTTTGGAGGTGCTTGTGGTAGAGTGATATTTTTAGTGAAGGCAAAGCTTTGGGGGTGCATGAGGTAAGATACATGTAAAAATGCTTTGTTAAGACAAAGTGTTAGAACTGACTTAGTTACCATAGGTGTGACATGCTTTGTTTAGGCAAAGCTTCATAAGTGATTATATTACCATATGTGTGACATGCTTTGTTAAGGCAAAGCTTCATAAGTGATAATATTACCATATGTGTGACATGCTTTGTTTAGGCAAAGCTTCATAAGTGATAATATTACAATATGTGTGGCATGCTTTGTGATGGCAAAGCTTCATAAGTGATTATATTACCATATGTGTGACATGCTTTGTTAAGGCAAAGCTTAATAAGTGATTATATTACAATATGTGTGACATGCTTTGTTAAGGCAAAGCTTCATAAGTGATTATATTACCATATGTGTGACATGCTTTGTTAAGGCAAAGCTTAATAAGTGATTATATTACCATATGTGTGACATGCTTTGTTAAGGCAAAGCATCATAAGTGATTATATTACCATGTGTGACATGCTTTGTTAAGGCAAAGCTTCATAAGTGATAATATTACCATATGTGTGACATGCTTTGTTAAGGCAAAGCTTCATAAGTGATAATATTACCATATGTGTGACATGCTTTGTTAAGGCAAAGCTTCATAAGTGATTATATTACCATATGTGTGACATGCTTTGTTAAGGCAAAGCTTCATAAGTGATAATATTACCATATGTGTGACATGCTTTGTTAAGGCAAAGCTTCATAAGTGATTATATTACCATATGTGTGACATGCTTTGTTTAGGCAAAGCTTCATAAGTGATTATATTACCATATGTGTGACATGCTTTGTTAAGGCAAAGCTTCATAAGTGATTATATTACCATATGTGTGACATGCTTTGTTAAGGAAAAGCTTCATAAGTGATTATATTACCATATGCGTGACATGCTTTGTTTAGGCAAAGCTTCATAACTGATTATATTACCATATGTGTGACATGCTTTGTTTAGGCAAAGCTTCATAAGTGATAATATTACCATATGTGTGACATGCTTTGTGAATTAGTTATGGCAAAGCTTTGTAAATCAACATTTAGGTACCATACATGTGACAATGATTTGTGCAATGAGAGATGCCACTGTGGCAGCAAGGTGAGTGGTCAGTACTGCACTGTGATTAAACATGGACACACATACATGGTAATCTAAGTAAACTACACGTACCTCGGCTGAGCAGGAATGTAACTGGAATCAAGAGTTGAAGTTAACCAGGAAACTTTCTGAAAGCACCTGCAGGCTTAACTCTGCGACTCAGTGCTACATAGTGTTATGGTTCTGACTTCACTGTGACAAGTGTATGAGAGCTCAGGATTATTTCTGTATATTATCCTATTGTTTAAAATGACATCTCATTGAACATGCTGATGTACTGAATTAGCTGTGAAGTTTCCAAGATGAAACTAATTCAAAAACATAAAAATGAATTTAAAACCAATAAAATGAATTTGAAAACAGCAACAGTTTCAGAAAAAGTCTCACTGAAGATGGTTCTCCCCTCTCTAATCCCTGAAATATTAAGCTCATATTCCAATATCTAGAGTCTAAAATATTGGTCATCTAGCAATGAATTTCACCATTCATTCTCCACAGTGGATTTCTTCTGGCAGTTAATTCTGAACACCTGCTGTAGGACACTTTGATGCCAGAGTAGCAAATAGTGTCATATGGTATCAAATAGATTTGGATAGCGTCAAATGGTGCCAAATAGGGTCAAATAGGGTCAGATAGAGTTTAACAGCATCAAAATACTGTCCATAAATTGGCTAGATATTTCTCAACTTTACAAACAATGATCCTCACCTCGCTGACTTTCTCCTGGTGTTTTGCCTTCAGCTTCCCGATGTCTGCATTCAGTCTTTGGATGTTTTCATCTCGTACCAACACCTGGAAACCAATACAAAGTTATATTAGTTGGATTTAAAGCCATTTTGAACAGAACAAGTAGTTCTAGAATCTTGCAACACACTAACAAAGAATCCCTTCAGCAATGATGGAGGTGACAATGCAGTGTTGACAATAAGGGGGCAGTAACTCTGAATGACTGACTGACTGAGTTTAGTTTTACGCCACTTTTAGCAATATTCCAGCAATATCACGGCGGGGGACACCAGAAATGGGCTTAACACATTGTGCCCATGTGGGGAATCGAACCCGGGCCTTCGGCGTGACGAGACAACGCTTTAACCACTAGGCTACCCCACTGCCCCGGCAGTAACTCTGGCCATATCTGGGTATGTTGCCATTTCTTTTCAGAATTCTTTATTTCAATTGTTTTCTCCCTGCCAAACTTGAATGTCAGGAAAAATATGTAAACTATCAAACTGGGGCAGAAGCCGGAGTTGTGCTACATAATGAGATGTATTCTTATAAGAGACTTTAGTTACTGATAGATGTTTAGGTCACTGCTTCTGGAAAGAAAAGCTTCTCGGGACAGTAACCAAATAATCTTTATTGACCCAAAACACATTTTGTATAAGAACATGCACTGAACTCTCTCCTCTGTGTAACACATGAATTTATTATTTCCAGTATTTGTTGAAATAGAATATATTTTTCTATAGAAATAGAATATATTTTCAACAAAGATTACCAGGCCCTGCCACTCAAGGCCATACAGAACCAAAAATGAGTGAGTGAGTATGGTTTTACGCCACACTCAGCAATATTCCAGCTGTATGGCAACGGCCTGTAAATAATCGAGTCTAGACCAGACAATCCAGTGATCAACAGCATGAGCATCGATTTACACAATTGGGAACCGATGATGTGTCAACCAAGTCAGCGAGCCTGATCACCCGATCCCGTTAGTCGCCTCTTGCGACAAGCATGGGTTACTAAAAATCAATTCTAACCCTGATCTTCATTGGTTTCAGAGCCCCAAAACTGCGAGATGAATCAAAGAGTGATGCTTACCTTGTTGACCGTCTCCTTCTGCTGTCTCTGTAGCACCTCCACGTCCCCCCGCAGCTGCTGGACCATGTTGTCCTTCGTGTCAATCTGGCAACAACAGTAGCAGCTCACTACCAACACTAGGATCACCCACAGAGACAAGAAAAAGCTTAGACAAAAGATCCTAGCTGATGAAATCTTCCTTGTGGTAAGAAATTGCAATAGGATTAGTCGAACATGCTGTAATGCTGGGAGTATGCCACCAATCATATTGTTTGTGTAGTCTTATTATGTTTAGATTCATTATTTAGCCAAAATGTAATTAAGACCGAAATCCAAATGGATACTTTCTACATGGTTAGTGTCTGAACACATACTTCATGCAGAATACATCATAGGTGCAAGGTCAAACCTTGGTGGGATGTATATTGCTGTAGAACTGAAGAAACTTACAGTATGGGCGAGGTTGTCGACCTGAGCATTGACAGAGGTGAGCTCTATACTCAGTTCCCGGACCTTGTCCTCCAGGCGAGCCACCTCATCCAGGTGAGCTACGTTCCGCTTCTTGGCCTCCTCCAGACTGGTTTCCAGGTTCTGCATTGCTGCCTTCTTCGTGTCAATCTGATCACAACAGGAGAGTGAGTGGCTCAGTCATCAATATCAGACATCAGACAGATTCATATTATGCTAACCTGATCATATTTGTATCAATCAGAGAATGTTTTTTTATGCAAGTGATAGTTGGAGTGGGAGGAATGACCTTGACTATACCAGAACAGTTTCTGGTTGCAGAATAATGAGTCAATACAAGTCTCAATACGATAATGCCAAGAACTTCTGACTACCAGTCATGTCATGAGGAAATGACCTACTTGTGACCTTAACATTCAAAAACTGATACCACTGAGGAGGAAGCTTTCTTGATGCCTATTTCAGACTGAGCTAACTTGACCTTGTCACCCAATGCCAGAAAATGTCCTTAAGGCATACAGGAGAGGCATAACAAGAATGGAATCTTACATAGCTAAATGTATGGTTGAGATCATTTCAGCAAATACATCAAACGGTGGTCTCTATACCCAGTTTAAAGTGGGTGCTTTGAATGTAAAGAGCTACACATGAAACAAACACTTTCTAAACAGCATTGTGTATTCATGGCTATCGGACACTTGTCAGAATGGTACAGAGAGTCCTTGGTCTAGACTACCAGTTGTCAGACTTCCATTTTTGTGGAAGCTGCATGGGACTCAACCCAACAAAAGTACTAGAATCTGTACTGAGAGAGTGTAATCACCAATATAACGTGTTTAAGCACTATATGGTAGAGCATTTAATGTCTTTACCTATGTGAACCAAACCACAAACCTGTGGAATAATCCTAGTCTTGCTCATCCATATATTATTTCCTGTATTGACTGTACCAGGGCTCCAGATAAGGGCCGTATCGGCGTATGTACGGATAGAAAATATGCACGATACGGTAGGAAATATTTTGGATAACGTAGCAGATACGCACCACAGCAATGGCGTACGGTCTTAGAATCGTTTACAGTCGTATTTATCGGAAAAAAAGTATTGTTTTATTGTTCATTGACCTGTTTACACAAGAGTAGCAATGTTGCGGTGCATATATGAAACGAAACACAAGATTACTGATACTCCAATAATTTCCAATTAGTACTCTAAATGGACCCTTAAGGTTTTCCAGTACTCATATACTGAAAAAATAAAGAGTACGTACTCCTGATGGTGAAAAATTATCTGGAGCCCTGCTGTACCTTATACCAGCTTCTTGGTAGAGCATTTGTATCATTTGTGAACAACTGTTAAACTCAGACAGCTGAGACATGACTGTAGACACATGGTACACACCTCATTATTTGCAGACCGTAGCTGTACCTTGAGCTGTTCGATCTCTCTGCTCATCTGTGTCACCTTGAAAACGTCACACACAGATGGTAAGTGAACTAGTGAATTGTAACTTTAACATTATTACAGCACAGACATTGCAGCCTTGGCCAAAGAAACAGGCGGTTGATAGTGTGAGCATATCAAATGATCCACATGTCCCTTCATAATCTCTACATCCGTAAACTAGCAGTCAGGGTCATTATGCTATATGAAGTACCATGACTTTTTTCACTTCAACCTTATCTCTCCCTGACTAAACTGGTGTTGATTCAAAGATTGATTCAGAACAGAAAGGCATATGGAATGACACAATAGCTGTGTACATGCTCATATATGCTGGCCAGTCACTGTAGCTCACCTTCTCCTCATATCTACTGCTGACTTCCTGTAGACTCAGTTGCTCCATCTTCAGCTTCTTGATGGCTTCCTCTCGCCGCTTGACCTACAGGATAATAGTGACATGATAACACTCTACCTGTGTCCACATATACACAATAGAAGCCCCTTATGCTGGGTCCATACAATATACCCAGATAATAGTGACATGATAACATTCTACCTGTGTCCACATATACACAATAGAAGCCCCTTATGCTGGGTCCATACAATATACCCAGCCATATTGTAACAAACTAATAGAAGTGATCCAAATTCATCCTTATTGTAATTCGAGGTACATTATCAATGCCCAACACCTGCTAAATGTATTGGACAACACTGGCAGTTTTCGAGTGTTTTAAGGTATAACATCTATTCTGTGTAGATAAATGCACATTTTAAGTCAGTTACATCCATGATAGTCAGCCTAACATCTAGTTCAAGTACATCTGTACCAACCTCGGTATTCAGCACATCCTGCTCACTCTGGGCGTTGATAGCGAAGGCCTGTATACGCGCCTCGAGGCGCCCGTTCTCCTCCACTGCCTCCTTGTACAGCTCCTTGGCGTTTGACAGATCCTGGGACAGCTGATGGAGAGTGATGTCCTTCCTCGACAACTACAACATGGATGAAGATGCACTCAGAATTACTGCCGTTACATTCTGCAGTCACAGGCTAACCTACTTTAATATTAAATACATGTATTGGTCAGATGACCTGTATCTTAAACATGAATTTCTATGTCTGTAAATACACATAGGAAGACCTTAATGAAGCCTCTTAGGGTAATCTTTCAAGACAAGTTTAACTTAAATATGTCAGCAATACAGCAAGAGATCAATATAATCACATCCCATCCTTTTTAAAAGCATGTTTTAGTGAGGGTCACCTGTTTCTTTTGAGGCCATCAATTCCGATATCACTGCAGTGTTCATACAGTCCTCGCACAAACAGTACATTCTGTATCCAGTCAGTTATAGACAAGCAGTACAAGTGAGTGAGTAGGTTTTATGCCGCTTTTAGCAATATTCCAGCAATATCATGGTGGGGGATGCCAGAAATGGGCTTAACACATTGTTACCATGTGGGGAATCAAACCCGAGTCTATTGTGTGACGAGCAAACACTTTAACCACTAGGCTACCCCACCACCCACCAAGCAGTACAAGACATTCAGAATCCACTCACACTGTCCTCCAGTTTGCGCCTGTCCTCGGCAATGTTCATGAGGTCGATGTCGGTCTTCTGTAGTGTGGTCTCCTTGTTTGTGAGTTCATCCTGGAGCTCATGCAGCTGGCGATGGATGCGGCTGATCTGCTCGTCTCGCGACATCAGCTGAAGGAAGAAGAGGATTTCACTTTAGATTCAAAATCAACATAAATATGCATCGGATAATGTTTCCACTCCCTTGCACTGATTGACCCTATTGTTTGCAGTAAAAACATACCGATGAATTTCACTTTAAACAAAAAAGTAAATCAAATAGAGTGAAATCAAGGGTTTGTTACTTATCTGATTAACTGGGTATGTTTTGTTATTCCCTGCTTGACACATGCTTATGACATAGCTAGAATTGGACTCATGTTTTATATGAATGTGGAAATGATCTTGTAGCTTCTATTTACACCTGATTAGTGCAACATTACAGCCCTTAGCAAAGCGTATTTGGACACTAAGACCAATGACCTAGAATCAGACGTAGAGGAGGATGAAAATGCTCAAGCATAAAGAGAACAAATATACTGAACAAAGATTTAAGGGATCATGAATACCTTTGGGTATATATTTGTGAAATTGTCTTTCACTGAAAATCTCCCCCAATTATTTATAATCCTGAACATTTTTGTTTAGTATAGTTTCAGTTTATCAGGCATACCTCTAGGTCTGATTCTACGCCTTTGTTCATTGTATATCACCTAGTGTCCATATTGCAATGAAGATGATCATCGTCTGTGCCCTGTTACCCCAGCAGACCTACCTGCCCCTCGTTCTGGGAGAACCTCTCATGCAGCACATTGAGGTCGGTCTTGAGGCGCATCACCTCCTCCTCCTTGTCGGCCATCTCGGACTTGGACATGGTCTCCTGCTGTGAGGCCGCCAGGTCTCGCTCCTGCACCTCCGTCTGGAGGCGGTCAATCTGGGGCAGGACAGAATGTGCTGTAAGTATCTTACATGTAGGAGGTGAAACAACACTGCCATAACTAGGTAACATCAAGGTAGAGACTGTTACATGGCAGTCAGCAATTCTCAGGATATATCACAGCATCCTTTAAAGGGTCTGGTTGAAGAGGACTTGAGCATGATAGCGAAATCAGTGACTGATGCAGTCAAAATGGCTTGACACGCAGTTAAACAGTCACACAATATGACCATCCGATCCCCAATCTGTTCTTAAGGCAAATATTGGTACTGGCCATGTGCACTGTTGACCATCCAATCCTCAGTCTACTCTCATGACATGGTGTACTGGTGATCTGCACTCTGTGGATCCCCAGTCCGCTCTTATGACAGATATGAGGTACTGGTGATCTACATTGTAACCATCTAATTCCCAGTCATCTCCTATGACAAACATGTGGTATGTGTAATGTAGACTGTGACCATCCAATCCCCAGTTGACCTACCTCCCTGGCCTGGGCAGCGTATCGACTCTGCAGCTGCTGCATCTCCCTCTCCACCTCATCCATCTTCAGCTGGGCCTCCTGGGTCTGGGGAACACACGCAGTACTCAGTGCAGGCTTCTTATACAACTTCCTGTCTCACACAGGCACGCTACTTTCCATATATCATGCACAGGCATAATAAAGATGGCAGAATAGTCAAGATTTGGGAAATACATACATAATTACAGCATAAGTTGATAGATTATATAAGTCTCTTGTTAGACCACTTCTGCCTGAACACCAACTCTATGCTGTTTCATGAAAGTAGTACTCCGACAGTTTCTCTCTATCTCCAATCCTGTTGCAATGGCATCACATACATACAGGCAATTTATATATACAAGGGAGTCAATGAATGAGTTTTATGCCACATTTAGTAATATTCCGGCAATATCACAGCGGGGAACACCACAAATGGGCTTCACACATTGTACCCATGTTGGTAATCGAAACCTGGTATTCGGCGTGATGAGCGAACACTTTAACCACTAGGCTACCCCACTGCCCCTATACATGTATTTCTCTGTTTTGTGAAAGATTTACCACGTCAACAAGCATGTATGTGTTAGTGTTCCAGTGTGAAACAGTTTATGAAACAATTGTCTGTATTGTTGCCCACAAACAGGATTCCTGTCTATCTCTGATCTTGTTCATGTGAGTACCCGATGTTCTCATCTAAGACCTACCTCGGCACTAGATGTTTAAAGTGATATTGTACATGACCTAACTATGACCTACCTCGGCACTAGATGTTTACAGTGATCTCGTACATGACCTACCTCGGCACTAGATGTTTAAAGTGATATTGTACATGACCTACCTTGGCACAAGATGTTTAAAGTGATATTGTACATGACCTACCTCGGCACTAGATGTTTACAGTGATATTGTACATGACCTACCTCGGCACTAGATGTTTAAAGTGATATTGTACATGACCTACCTCGGCACTAGATGTTTACAGTGATCTTGTACATGACCTACCTTGGCACAAGATGTTTAAAGTGATATTGTACATGACCTACCTCGGCACTAGATGTTTAAAGTGATATTGTACACATGACACTACCTGATCGGCACTAGATGTTTTACAGTGATCTTGTACATGACCTACCTCGGCACTAGATGTTTACAGTGATCTTGTACATGACCTACCTCGGCACTAGATGTTTACAGTGATCTCGTACATGACCTACCTCGGCACTAGATGTTTACAGTGATCTTGTACATGACCTACCTTGGCACTAGATGTTTACAGTGATCTTGTACATGACCTACCTCGGCACTAGATGTTTACAGTGATCTTGTACATGACCTACCTTGGCACTAGATGTTTACAGTGATCTTGTACATGACCTACCTTGGCACAAGATATTTTGATTTCTTCCTTGAGCTGTTTGATAACCTCTCCTCTGTGTTTCGCTGTTGAGATAGCCTCTCGTAGCTTGTCATCAATCTCGCAGTTTTCATTGCGGAGTTTGACAATTGCGTCGTGTCTCTCGGATACCTGTTCATCACATGATCATCACAAACATTAAACAGCACCACATTCCTTTTAATTTGTTTGTTTGTTGCTTAATGCTGCACTCCACAATATTCCAGATTTATGGCAGTTGTCTCGAAATAATCGAGTCAGACAATTGAACCAGACAATCCAGTGATCAACAGCATGAGCATCGATCTAGCAGCACTTTCAGTGACCGTACCACAGCTTTAAAGTTGAAATGAAAGAAGCTGTCTCACAAATGGGCTAAAGTATTAGCAATTAACTTGTCAAACATGGCTGTCAATATTTGCAACTTAAAATATTACATCTGAAAAACAGATTTTCTTAGAAAAAAATGTTTAATGAAAGAGTTGATACTAAAGCTATTGCAAGCCGCATCAAAATGATCTAAAGCGTTAAAACTGCTCTACAATCCTGACCCCATCCTTGACCTGGGAAACTCACCTCGGAGGTCAGGGCATCACGAGTATCTTTAGATGAGTTTTGCAGTCGTTGTAGACTTGCGGTCAATTTGTTGACCTGGGGAGTAAAGGGCAGGGAACGGTCAGAGGTGGACTGAACAAGTCTAAAAATTGATTGCCATCCTAATTTGGGGCATGTTTCTGAAAAAACATATCTCCATAAAGTACCAAACAGACAATGTGAATGATATAGGGTTTGCACACGAGAGCCAGGGAAAAGACAGCTATACAAGGGAGGCAACTCAAGATTCACATGCCACTAGTAAAGATAACAAGGGTCAAGTGTTGTTGGATGGAGAAATTAAATGATTCTTTTCACTCTGAGTGTGTTTATTTTACAAACAAAATAGCTTCTCCAAAAATATATGATTAAAAATTAGATTCATAGCTTCAAATTTAGATGCATCCAAATAAAATTTAGAGAAAGGATTTAAAAATGGATCACATGTAACAAAAAAGTTATTTTTTTTCTAAACATATGATTTGATACAGTCCAGCAAGGGAAGACAGAGTAACCACTGCAAGGAAGTCAGACAGCAAAGTGATGCAGGTGACAGCACAAGGATGTGGGAGGAGATCACCATCAGTTAATGCACAGGTTCACACGGTCAAGGAATGTTCAGGTCAAGCAGCACACAGCTACAACACAGCCACAGCCAGCCCTGGTCACAACAACCTCAGGTACAGTATATCCACCCAGTGTACGCTAACAGTGTTCTCAATGAAGATCGAAAGTGAAAGGGTCCCTGTCAATACAATAATGGAGTGTTCAAGGGTCCTTGGGGAGGTTGAGTACTGCTGTTGAATTAAGGAAATGCCTTGAATCCAGATCTGTCAGCTTATGAGTTACGATCCATTTCATGCTTGAAGATCTAAAGATTCAACGGGAGACTGGATTCAAACACCATAGCAGACAACTTCACTCAGCCAAGGACCTGACTTAAATTTGAATACTTATCATTGCTAATCTGTAATCAGCTTAATCAAATGAACAGTAAATATTACTATACATGTCTTGAGGTGTGTTGTGGCTTGAGTTGACTGTACAAGCAAGCTAAGGACTTCATGGCTGTGAGTATCCGAATACATCCATACAAGAATATTCTAACATTTCACAATTCAATAAATGTTACACACAATATTCTAACAAAAAGCAAGCTCATCAGCGTCTAAATAAAAATTCTGATGATAACCTATATTCAAACTACCCCTACATTATGTACATCAAGAATCTGACTTGTATATTAAACCTATTACAGATGCACTTGTTTCCACAGTCTAGTGAGTGAGTGAGTGAGTTTGGTTTGACACCGCTTTTAGCAATATTCCAGCAATATAACGGCGGGGGACACCACAAATGGGCTTCACACATTGTGCCCATGTGGGGAATCGAACCCGGGTTTTCAGCGTGACGAGCGAACGCTTTAACAACTAGGCTACCCCACCGCCCCTCCACAGTCAAGACTCCATGAGGGATTGAAGTTACGTCTCTTGTTAATCCTTCAGCACTGATGGGAGTCATTGCAGGCATTTAGATACTGCATATAATTGTGACCAAGAGTGTTAGGGATCTCACCTTCTTCAACACACATACACATACATCTTGCTGTGCATGCCCTTCATCTGTAGATGGTGTGCATGTATGATAAAGAAGCTGTTATCTATAATACTCCTCGTCACATTTTTTCACCAGTCAGGTTTACGTAACCTGAATCAGAATTTGTGGCAAAGTTTAGCAAGTCTAAATCAAGATGTTGGTCTCAAACAGCTGGGACATTAGAGCTCCTGTGACCATCACAACCCAGGATACATACTGTTACCCTGTAAACTGGACTGTGTGTAAAATATGTGAAGGACACGCCAAATGAAATTTCACACAAAACTGTGAATAGTAACTCATTCAAAGTATCTTTACACTTGCATGTGATTTGTGCAAAATAAACTAAATCGGTTTACACTCTCTGTGCAAAATTTGAAAAATTTCAACTTACAAGAGCTGATTTGGAATTCTGGGAATACAATACTGAGTACCATCAACACCTCAAAAGTCTGCACTAGTCTTTACAAATCCCTACTTACTTCAACACATAACAGCCCTGGTCTACAGGGCATTGTCAAACAGCACAAAGATAGCAAGTTGTTGGGTAATATGTCTCAGTTAGTGTCAACAGGTTGGCCCATATGCTTAGTGCTGTGTTGAAGATATATGTGCCCTGCTTATCAATGGGACATCCACCACAATAATAACATAGGGTGAAGCAACATGCATTTGGATTAAACAATCACAAGTGCTTACTATTCTATAACATCTGTATCACATATATGTAAAAGCATTAGAGAGCTCCTTATATCATGTTCCTAAGACCAAAACATGCACTGTGGTGAAAACTATTTACTCATATATTCACATATATACATAACATTTGGCTACAAGCATTAGGTAAGCAACACAGAGCACAGCTCAAATATACACTATAGTCTGTTTGAGTCAGAAAAAGACCGATGAATTGCAAATTTTATCAGTGTACAAAATTGCCACATAAATATAAATAGTACACATGTTTATCATTTACTAATACCCAACAGCTTTCTTATATTTGAAAATTTTCCGGACTCCACCAAAAAAGTTCTTTAAGAAACTATCATTAAAATTTTGACACAGTTCACTATTTGTTACGAGGGAGGAGTGCAGAGAAAGGGACAGCCAGGTGTTAGAGAGCACGTGTACAAGTGCCCACCAAGTTATTGAGTCTCCATCCTTTCTCGCACACCTGGCTGTCCCTTTCTCTGCACTCCTCCCTCGTAACAAATAGTGAACTGTGTCAAAATTTTTCCAAACCTGCAGAGGTTTTCAATTCTTTGAAGAGAGTCGTCCTTGGGGTACATATTATGCATTTTCCGGCTGTAAAATGTCCTGTGACAGTTGTATCAATGTTTTTTGAATAAAAAGATTGTACAATAAATAAACTCTTTTATTTATTATACGGACCCTACCTCACGGAGTTACCTCCCTTAGCGCATGCGCACCAACTGGGTAGGCTCCTAGACCCGTATCATCATTCCTTCTGCTGAATTCTCATCAGTGAACAGAATTGCGGGAGGTGGGTGGGCCTACCCAAGGGCGACTCTCTTCAAAGAATTGAAAACCTCTGCAGGTTTGGAAAATTCTTTTTCAGAGAGATCGTCCTTGGGGTACATATTATGCATAAACACAGACTCCCAAAGACCGGAGGCCAGGGAGGAGGGAATTCTGTCCAAGCACACACAAAATATAGCGATCGTATCATGGAAAAAAAATTGAACAGACGCCATAACACTCACCTGTCACTGACCCAGTTTCGCCTCACGAGAGGCATTATGGGAGGGAACTGACAGGGAGGATTTGTGCTCAAAGACGACCTCTAGCATAATGAGACATTGCGTAGTCGCGCTAATGTCAGTGAAATCCGACCCACTAAGTGGCTTCTTCGTGAGAGCACCGTGGGGGAAAACAAAATTACCACTCACTAACGATATCGTGAACTCCTTAGAGAATCGAAGGGTACAGGTTCTCTGAGTGCTCGTGAGCAGACATGTCAATAATGGAATCATTGTACAGTAGCGCCAACACAAACCAATAAACCAAGACTCACTTGGTCAGGGTGGCAGGACACTGTCCACTGGAGAGAACGCACGACCAAAGCTCGCGACGATTGGGCGTGAATGTGTATCGAGCTGATAATGGCGATAAAGTGCTTGGCCGGCTCCAAATAGCGGCAGAGCAGATCTCTTCAATGGGGAGTGCCGCTGCAAAAAGCTTTTGATGCGGCTACTGCCCTGACCGAAAGTGAGCCTTCAACCCCTCAGGGGAGGCTTGCCCTTAGCCTGATAAGCGGCACAAATACCGACGAAACGCAAGCCAGCTGAGACAAAGTTTGCTTGCTGGCTGGCAGACCAGCCTTCCCGCCACCGTAACAACAGAACAGCTGGGTACCCGTGACGGATCCCCTGCGTTCGCTTGATATAGACTTTGAGCGTCTTACGGACATCCAACGGGTGAGTGCTCGTGGGAGTGGTCCCCGATGTGGAAGGCTGGGTAAGAGTAGGAAGTTCGATAGGAGCTGTCACATGGAAGCGTGATCGACCTTCGGTCGGTAAGTATCTGGGAGGCTAATGCTGACACGATCCGTGTGAAACACAGTCAGCGCCGGGTCGGACGACATAGCATGTATATCGCCGACTCTTCACCAGATGTTACCGCCACCAGAAACACAGCTTTCCAGGTCAACAACTGAATGGAAATAGCCGATAGGTGTGAGAAAGTGGACCGACAGCCAATCGAGCACGATCGACAAATCCCAAGGTGGACTGGTTCGCCTGAGAGCAGGTCGAATCCGCTCCGCCAGCTAGAAAGCGCCAGTACGAGAGGGTGCTGCCCCAGAAGAGCACCATCGACAGGGGTGTGAAAAGTGGAAATAGCGTTGGAGTAGCCACGAATGGTCGGGCAGCCAGGCCTTCTTCCAAACGAGCTTGCAAAACTCCAATACTGGGACTAAATCCGCGAAAAGGGATCTGCAATGCCCCTATCTGAACACCAGCGGCATAGGCGGGACCACCTATCCTCATACTGAACGCTTGTCGAATCCCCCGAAGCCAGAATTGTGTCTGCAACTGCTGCAGGAATTCCGCGTGCCTCGAGGTTAGACCTGACAGAGGCCAAGCCACCCACTGAATCCGTGGATTTGGGTGGGGCGCCGCTCTGAGTGAGAATGTCCGATTAGCAAAGGTAATAGAACAGGAGGCTGAGCCAGAAACCTGAGAATTACCGGAAACCAGCTCTGTGACGAGCCAAAGCGTGCCAGTAGCACAAGTAGCCGAGCTGGCTGGGTGGACAGCTGTGAAAGGACACGGGGAATGAGTGGTAACGGGCGGCATGCAGAGCACTTTGCCCGTCCCAATCCAGCAGGAAGGCGTGCCGGCAGCCAACGCCTCTGGTCCGTATCCGAGCAGAACACGGAAAGTCTGATGCGTCCCGCCGACGCAAACAGATCCACCTCGAACGACCCGCGTTACAACTGG